CTAATATAAAATACTCAGTTGTTTTTCCCGCCGGCTGTACAGAGTGGTCGAGCTTTACACGTCTCATTTGTTGGTTCCAGTTATCAATGAAATGGAAAGTCAGTGTTAACAGTCATTGTGTCGTGTTGCACGCGGCGTCAAGGCCGCTCTACATAGTTTCATGCCCTACTAACTTGGCCGCCATAGACATGCGATTCAAACGACACATATTAATATTTGTTTGCATAGTAACGTTTTTAGGACCTAAGTAAAGCTTTGAAATGCATGTCACTCTTGCGTAAGACTGAAATGTCTATAAAAATACTGAAAGCTGAAAAAAATAAAAAGTAGGTACATACATACTCGTATTACAAACATTTCGTGCATTTCTTAAGAATACAATTTACATATGAAAATTGAGAAAAAGGTTTTACTGCTGTTAGCATTCCTATACCTACCTAGTTATCGTGCTAACCTTAATTCCCAAAATTACCCACACTAACATGGGATCATGATGAAGAAAGTTTTGTTTGATGAATATTAATTTCATTACTAGTAACACAGAGGCGTTTACCCGCCTCTCCATGGCGAATGTGGTCTAAAATGTGCGTCTGAGTATAATTACACATGTCGACAACTTTTTGTGGTAAACGTTAAATCGTGCGCAAAACTGATGAGTTGTAAAATATCCTTTTGATGCACGTTTTGTCGATTGACCTTTGATTGAACGGAAATTTTGTTGATTAGCTGAACGGTGGACTTGTTTCAATCAGCAGCATTATCGATTGTTTCCTTCGATTGCCCAGAGATTGCTCTATCTAACCCCAAATTACCCCACCTTACGACGTAAAGGTTTTTGGTAAAGTTTTGTGGTAAAGTTGGAACCCTGTAATTGTTACTAGGCGGATTTTTATTCCTTTGTACGGATTTCCTACACGTCATAGTAACTCATTTAGACCTGGCAATAACCTTTAGTCCTTTGATGTAATCCTACAATGAAGTAGCAACAAAACACTTCCAGACATAATACCTACCTAAAACCATTAGGAGAGAAGGGCGGAATACATTACGCATTAGATACGCGATATATTTTAAGTACTATTATTTAAATATTTGTCTACTGGTTGTTGGAACCATTTAAAAGCTTATTCTCGTTCTTTAAAGTGTAAGTCTGCAAATTGGATTTAAAAATTGCAAAAATACTTCCTAAGGAGCAAATAAAAACAGACACTATGTTCTTAGAAAACATATTTCATTATGATGTGCTTGAGTTTTATTGTGATTTGCATCTGAAGGTATAAGAAAGTTCCAGAAAAGTCGTAACAAATGTGAATCGCTTTTCCTTTTAACTGTCTGCGAATCGCCTCAACTTTTATTTGTCAGAGCTAAGTTCACGTGTGGATTGAGGTTTGTCCCAGCAATACTTTATCGCACATCCCCCGGGAACTGTTAATAATCTCGGGATAAAGAGGCCCTTGGGAAAAGTTATCTTTCCATCTGTGATTTAAGATAAAATATCGAACACTCTTAAGGTTATTACGGTTACAAAAAACTTTTTTTATTTACAGAACTTGTGTGTGTGAATTTGCTAAAAATTGTTTTATCATCTTTATGAACTGTTATTATTTGAACACCCTATGTTAGAAGGAGTTTCATATAAATAAAGAGTCTTGTTCATCGGTTTTGGCATTAAGTTTCGACGCGAACGAAGTCGCGGGTTCAACGACTTCTAAAATAAGACCCTTAATGCAGCTGTATGTAAAAAATTGGGCAAATGAGGGCAAACGACGCAAAATCAATACCCATACAAAGGATAAAGAGTTCGCGGAAGGAGGTCTTTTTTCCATAAAGAGGATTCGGTATACTTAAACTCGTAGTTTTGAATGGAATGCCAACTGAGCCATGACAATTTGTGGCTTTTAGATATGGAATCGAATTATAATTGGGTTCGTGGAATACTTACCACTTTTTACTAAAGGACATTTCAGTGAACATGTCTCTTTTTGCTGTAGATAAAAATTTAAATAAAAGTGCTATTTATATAAATTGTGATTTAGTTATGCGTCTTTTAGCTACTGACTTGTCAGTAACTTGTTACAAGGAAACTGAATCTATTATTATTTTTCTTTCTAAAACTGTCCACGACTAACGAGTGTGGGCGACAAAGATATGTCTCAGGATGCGTAAATAGCGAAAAAAAAGAGTAAATGAATGAACTCACAAAGACAGAATATTTTGAAAATATAGCGGTCGAAAGGGCGTTAAGTTTTTTATCAATTTATGTTTAACCTCCTTTTTACAATGACGTGACAAATTCCAATAAAACACTGGATTAAAAAAAGGAGAACCATTTTTATTCATGAGTTGTCTTAAAAAGGATACGGTTTCAAGTTGAATTTTTCAGTAGATTTTACAGCGAAGTGATGTTCAAAAGCAATCGGTAGATAAAAAAAGGTCCACAAAATCGCTTAATCTAAGGTTAGGGATACGAATGTGCCAATAAATTCTCTTGATTAAATTCACCAGAAAACTAACCTTTGATGTTTAATAGGTACATATACGAGTAGGTATAGAATTTTACTGGAATAAAATATAAGCATGAGTAAAACAAAATTTATACTTAATTGTTGCAATTCACAAAGGCGTGTGAGCTTTACATGTGTGGTGGTCCGCTACCTACTGTTTGTTTTTCAAAAGTTTTGATAGACATTACTCTATAGTTATATTTTTAGTGATGTGCATGTACACGTACACACACAAGTAAAGCTCACTAGCCTTCGTGAGGGCAAGAACTACTATAATGAAAATAAAATGTTACTCGTATGTACGGAAATAGTTCAATCCATCAACGTAATAATAATATGTTATATCATCAGTTATCATCACATCTGGCTAATTTATTTACATACCGATGTATGTAAATAAATTAGCCAGATACCTAAGTAAACTCCGACAAACTTTACTTCGACATTACGTTACTCCGACATTTCTGAATATCGACATGACTTTACTTCGACACTACACTACTCCGACAAAGGATATTCGCCTTTGTCTAAGTAGTGTAGTGTCGAAGTAAAGTCATGTCGTTTCAGTAGTGTCGGAGTAACGTAATGTCGAAGTAACGTTTGTCGGAGTTCAGTTTTTGAGCCGACTAGTCTTTCATAAGAAAATAAAGTTCTAGATCCTAGACCATGCGGCACTGGCATGCAAACTATATTTTTTAGAAGATGTTATTAAATAATCGTATCTATTTTAAAAAAATATTTAAAAGAAAAGAATTCACAGTAAAAATATTTGAGCCATTTGACTTATCATTTAATATGAATAATTAGTGTTGCTATGACTAATTATCGTGACATGGAATAATAAATTCAAATATTGTATAACAAATTATATTGTATAATACATATTGACACATCTGTTAAGACAAATTATAATTTGTATAAAAGAAACACCCATTAATATTCCACGTTGGACTTTAGACCTGTTTCTTCTTCTTGGTAAATCTCACGTTTCATAAAAACTTTATTCAGTGAAAAAAACTAACTTACAAGTATTCAGACTTTTAAGTGAGTAAACTGCATTAAACTTGTGTGTTAAATTGTACTTTCTTTATCAATTTTTTAAGACAAACTTGTCTTTACCACTTTAAACTGAACCAAATTTTCACTTCTTCCTATAAAATTTCCCAGAAGAGGTTCAATTATTTTTTCCATTATCGGCAGTAGCATGTAGACTGACGACAATAATTCTACGAATGAAACGTTACGATGACAGGAGTATGCCGTTTGGTTAGTTTAGTGTTGCGTTGATATCAGAACTTAGTTGTACGGACGAAGGCACATCAAGGTACCTAAACATAGTTGCACCTTATGTAATTGCAATAAGTACCATTTTGCCACAACAATGTTTAATCCGATGAGCAGTTCCAATTAAAAATAACTCGCTTCAAGTTATTGGGGTGTGCCTTGCGAAAAGTATACAATGTAACCGATACAAATGTTAAAACCGGATTTTTGGTCAATTGTGTAGAACGAAGATATAATAGGGCTTTGTAAACAACGTTAACAACCTTTGGCAACGACCTGTCAACTTGGAATCTTGATAGACGTGTGTCCTAAATTTTTTAAATAGATTTTCAAAACTGTGGAAGCTAAAGCGCTATCTAGGTGTATTTAAATCCGATGTGTACATTAAGTTGGTGTTGTAAACGATGCATTATTTAGATTTCATTTGATTTGAAGAGGTAGGAAGGAGGAAGTAATTAAATAAACGTGGTTTAATAACGCTACTTATTAATTTCTCTACGTACCGAGAAATTGGGTATAATGAACGTGAATTGAGGTAGTTCTTGTTAATGGTGAAAGCCATTGTAATAAATATTATCAACAATATTTATTACAATGGCTTTCACGTATAAGAATAACGTATAAGAAATGCCATAGAAATTACAGCGGTTCGCAATGTTAGAAGAAAAGTTACAACCTCCTTCACAATGTATTATTGTCACTCGCATTTAAAAATAATTTGTTAAAAAAAAGAACACCTGACAGCTGGTTGTCAACTATTTTGAAATAAATACGCACTAATCTTGACCTCAAATAGGTATGTTTCTTAAATTCGACCTTCTTGCTGTGACCACGCTTACCGCACGTACTGGCCACTTTTTTATTTTTTTAATAATTCAGTTTCGCGCCAAGCGTAGTATGTCATAAAAAATAGTTAGCGACGTTGAAAAATGTAGCGCGTCATTTAATGTAAACAAGATAATGAGTAAGTAATTAATTAGTAAGAAGGTAACTTTTACGTTTACAACATACTAGTACCGAATTTGCTAATGCAGTGTTGGCTTTAAAAGATTATCAGCTGGATTAGTAAAAGATTAAGCTTCCTAAGTCCCAACTCCATAAGATGCTATAGCAGTGTACCATGTGATGTTCTCTGTATACTGTTTTACAAAATTCTAAAGATAAAGAAATTTTCTAGATCATAAATCTAATTTAAGTTCTCTTTTGTTCCAGGCAATAAAATATGAGCAGTACAATTCTGCTGCTCGCGCTGTGTGCAGCGGCGCAAGCGCTGACTGTCAACCTGCAGCCGACGCCAAGCCAGGCCTTCCTGAACAACATAGGCTTCCAGCTCACTGGGCCTGGCGCTCAGTACGCTAAGGTCGTGGCTGCAGGCCCGACGGCTCAGAGGCTACCTGTCTTAGGTTTTGGGTGAGCGAGTAGAATTTTTGTATGTGAGCGCGGCGAATTTATGCTTATAGATCGTCCAATAGAAACTGTAATGTTTTCAAATAAAGCTGAATAACATCGACATCGAGCTCTCTATGTTTTAGTAGTTTGAGTGAACTTATCTTTGATTGTAATTTTAGGTTTATTGGGGGAGTTAGCCCTCAATTGAGTCGATTATTATAATAGTTACTTTTAACTTGACAGTTTATATTGGCAATTGGTGAGATATGTAAATATGTGGAATGTATGTGACAGCAAGAGTAAAGGAACATCATTGGTCAATAGGTAGATAAAGGATTTCTCTTATTTGTTTTCACTGATAGAAAAAATACGATCTACCAAAATACTGCATTCATTAGGTCTGCCTATGCATGGCCGGCTGAACCCGGTTCACATGAAAAATTTCATCAAAGGGGGATTGATGCCACACAATCCTATTGAGCATTTTTGAGTTTTATGAAACATACCTTTCTGCTGATTTTAGCACACGATGGAAGAATAACATGCATTACCCTACATGCATACCATTCCAAATACCTACAACATAGCAAAGTTTCAATGTACAATTTTAATAGATTTCCACTGTGATGCCTTCTAAACAAAATGCATGCTTACCTTACCTACTTAATGAACTATTACTTAAGTACTCATAACTCTGTCTTACTTTTCAGAATACATACTCGTACATACAGGAGTTAATGACACAACGTCTACAAAACAAGTCTTTACCATGAATTTTAACTTTCCAGCTGAAAATACATTTTGAAAAACATTTATGAAAAATATTGTCAAAACTGTGTTTGCACATTGCATAGTTAGTTGCGCAGCTGTCAATTAAATAGTACTTAATTTTATTGCATTATGAATCATACGGCAATAAATACTTGGAGCACAGTTTGCATTCATATTTTATTTTATAAAGCAAGCTTTAAAAATGTTAGGTGCATTACTAAAATAACTTTCAGGTCAACGTTCATTCACATGGGATTATGGGATTTGTAATCTAATTTCAACATCCATTTGAATTTAACGAGGGTTTTCATCCGTAACCTTTTAGTTTTAATTCATTTATTAAAACTTTTTGCATTTAATTGAATTGTTACCTGTCAAAAGCTGAAGGTAAGCGGAGGTTGCTAGTTTGGTTTAACACACCGTTATAGATCGATCTTTATAAAGATAATAGCCTTAAGGCATTTAGTTCGCTTAAAGGAAGCAAGTAATGTTCACCATTTCTTGGGAAATAATTATAATCTAACAATTTGACTGTATCCGCTACGCGTGGGTAGGTTCAAGATGCTGAGATTATTACAGGGACCCAAAATCTAAAACAGTTTTTCATCCATATATTTTAGCAAAACAGTTTTCGACAATATTTTTCGTAGCCACTGTACAAATGATTACACTGTCTACATCCTGTTAACCTCTGCACTGCCTATAACGCTGCACTGATTGTCCCCAGCGAACTGTCGGGTGAGGCACCAGTACCGAGCGGACCTGGACTAAGGTTACTACATATCCTAGTTATTATGCTCAAGCTACACATAGGCGGCAGCGGGAGGGTTAAAATGTGTTTTTGAAAGGCGTGCATTTTTTAACCCTGCCACGATCCTGTAATCCATGGTATAGTCAATGCAACTATCAATACAACAAGGTGATCCAGGTTCAACAAGTTCCAGATAAAATTGTCGCCTATGCTGTCTTACTTAGCGCTATAGCACCTACCACACCGCCTTTTCCGCGAAATGTGTACAGTTTTGCGTTCGCTTGCTGCATAAATTCTAGCCAGCCGTCACAGCTACCTTCCCACTGAACCGCCTGTGTGTAATGAGCGTTAACGTCGAAGGATTGATCAATTGTTTTTGTATCATTTAAATAAACTACTTCAAGAAGGAACCCTATAAAACTCGGTGTTGGTACAACTCAACATAACCACAAAACACTCTTAAACTACATATACGATCACCCTTTGCACAAAGTGACACAGGAACATTGATCATCCTTATTAGATTAACCCTTGTAAAGTGCCTTGGGATACGCAGACCCTGCCTTAAGGTAGAGTTAACTCCGAAGCGAACTTACCACCGATGTAAAGCACGAACACCGCTCCCAAACTTGCGATTGCTACCTAAATAACTACACGGTTCAACAACTGTAACCATACCGACTCACAGATGTTACAAAACTGTATCTACACACATAGTTACATTACAAAAATAATTGTAACACACTGTTAATATATTGACAGCAGAAATAAAGCTAAAATAAATATTATACATAATATGTACTGCAAACGTAGCAACAAACTAACGTAACTTATTATAAGTGCAAGAGTTTTCTTTAGAACGAAACTTGCTTGCATTTTCATAGAAATCTTGTGGTAAGTTTCTTATATCTTCAGCTCGAGAATACCTTACTTCCCTGTATATTTCCGGTTCGATGAACAAAAATATTAAGGTGTAACTTGAGCGGTTACAAAAAGGATAATATTTTGGCGAGTGAACATCATGAAACGTGGTTGGCACGTGATATTAACTGGCAACTATTTTCCTAGTAATAAATGTAGGTACACCTATCTAAATGCTGTGTCCCATTTTGCTCTATTAAAGTAAATTATGCTACCAACAATACCTAGCTTATGAGTTTACGTAAGTATAAAATGTAGTGTAGTTTAAAATATAATTCGTTTCGGTTGTCAAGAAACGCATTTATTCGCGCTTCATAAAATTTTGTTGTTTATATTAAACAAACAGATCATTATTTTTAATGTATCGTTTAATAATTTTATACGAGTTAATACTACCGTATCGATAAATTAAGTAAGAGATATTTGCAAGTGAAAAATATAATGTTTAAAACATGCCCCATTTCAACTGATACAAACCGGAATCTCATCATGAGTTTAAATGAATTGATTGGTTCAAATATTTCTGCTCAAGTTCGAGTTTAAGCGCCGTTTCAGTACAAGTTAAGTAACGTTAGCAATTAGTATCATTCGCACAACTATGTAGTAGCAAGTGCAAGACCAATCTAAAAGTTTAATCTATTCGAGCAGCAACTAATCCCGTTTAGAATGCAGTTCCGGAGCTCAAATTTCATCGCGTACATTACAGTTTCAGCAACCCACCCCCACCGTTGGGCACGGGGACCGATCCAGGTGCCCAGACCTGTGGCCTGTCTCCGCCCTTCTGCACCAAGTCTCGATACAGAGCGATTGATGGGTCCTGCAATAACCTCGCCAGGCCCTCATGGGGTATGCCGCAGACACCCTACGGACGATTGGTGCCGTACAACTATGCTGATGGTGAGTTAGGGTTAAATAATTCATTCGGAGATGAGTGCTTGTAAGGGTTAACAATTTGTCATAAAAATTGTTCTTTAGTAAAATTATGATGTTTCACAAATAGGTCCTGCTTCGGAATAATGGCTCTGTGAGGCTTGGGTCGTAAACTCTATTTATAATACTAATAAAGGACGTTGTTTGCTAAGCCAACGGACGGTGAGCCGTTAAAAAGATGATTTCGTGCTTGAGAGGACACGAGGTACTTTTCTGGTTAGATTTCTGAACATAATGCCGGTCAAGTACCAGTCGAAATCGCTTATGGGTTCATCATTCCCTTTCCCTATTAGTATCTTTACTTCTTTTATTCTCCTACAACGCTTAAAATATTTAAGTAAAAATTTAGGAGAGGTACGTGATCGCAATAGCTTCAGTAAATTCTTAACTAGTAGCTATTGGGAACACAAAATGGAAACAAATGGAATGGTTTTCTCCTAATTCATGAGTTGCTGACATAGCCCGACGGATTAGCAAGCTGAAGTGGCAATGGGCAGGGCATATAGTACGCAGAACTGACGGCCGATGGGGCAGCAAAGTGCTGGAATGGAGGCCGCGTACCGGAAAACGCAGCGTGGGACGTCCACCTACAAGGTGGACTGACGACATCGTAAAGGTAGCAGGGAAGCGCTGGATGTAGGCTGCTACCAATCGATCAACGTGGAAAGCATTAGGGGAGGCCTATGTTCAGCAGTGGACGTAATATGGCTGAAAGATGATGATGATGATGATGATAGATCGTCTCTTAAAGCTCTATAATTCTTAAGGAGTTTTCTTGTTAGGTATAGAAACCCTAATAAATGCATGAGCCATGATAGATTTTATGAGGTGCGTTATGTAACTCATTCGATAGAAACTAACAAGAAAATAGTATAAATAGATTCTATTATTTCTTATTTAATCAATAATGTTTCTCTTTTTGGGCTCTTCAATATTATCGGTATTGTGGCGTAAGTAGTTACCCTATCAGTAAATCATTCAAGTTGTTTGCTCATTATATTGATGAAGTGCCAAAAATAAAACGAATCCGCATTCGTATAATGACTTATTAATCTTTTTTATTACTTCTGGAGACGACATATTATATTGTTGATACGTTTTTATTACCTTTGTTTTAAACTTTTCATTGTCATTGTAGGTTCCTTTTGCAACCTCTTCGTAGACTGTGTCCTTTGAAATAATCAACGTGACCAAATAACATACTGTTCCAGTTTCTTTTTGAACTCGATTGATAAAGAACAAAGAATAATCTTTTATACATCGGCTTTCGCGTCACATACATTTTTGTTTCGGCCTCGTTACCGTACTTTATGTCACCAGAGGATGGTATCCAATATACGGTTAAAATGGTATCTTCAGAAATGTACGCCTTTTAAAGGTACATCGTACTTAAAAATAAAATAAGTTGATCTATTCTAGGTAGGATAGGATTTTAATTTATCTATTCTAATAAACCCCAAAGTTTGTGAAGACGGATAGATAAAATAGGTTTGTTGTTTACTGACTAAACAACTACCTACTGATTAACTCATTCTTAGAAATCTAATTGAGCGAAGCGACCCAGACGGTAGCTAGTTAATATTTTAGGCTCTAGTTTTGGGGACTACTTCTCTAAGAATTTAGTTTTTAAACTATAACATTGACGCTAAAACAGACAACTACAACTGAAAAGGTACGCTTGAGACGAAATATTTAATTAACGATTATTACAATATCGTTAAATAATTGCTTCTATTATTACTTTTACCAATACTTATCCTCAAATTCGTTCACTAGTTTCCAATAAAGCCGGGGAATTTGTCTTGAACGTCTTTATTATCTGCCAATGGCATTATAATATAGAGCCCCATATATCACTTGAAGTATCCTTTGAGAAGCCCGCCGTTCTAACGACATCCATATAAATCCTTCCAATTATAGATATCAATCAATCACTTTATCTGTAATTTCCTTGCGTGTAGTCTGTGAAAGGGATTGTGTTATCAGAAGACAACTAAGTTTCGATTAGTTTATCCGTGTGTACAATTGGGGTATATCGTAATTTTCTCTGTCAGCTTCCTGTTTGGAATGTCAACAATAGGATTTCCTGAACGATTCATTCGTTCCTAATCCAAAAAAAGCTACGAAAAAAAAATATTCCAAAAAATAAGACTTTTAGTAGCACCAGTAATTATTTTCCAAAGTTTTCACGAATTAAAATCAGATACAGTGCATTATCCCTCGTAAAAATTAATGTTACTAGTATGGTGGACCGACATTTCTCACATTTAGGTCCTATAAAGTGCGTAATCGCCCTAACTGAAATAAAATAAATGGGTGCTGGACATCAAAACTAGTTAAAAGTGGCACGTGTAAGAAGATAAGCTTCATGGCTTAGCGGTCGTAATGTCTTTAAGAGTATTTTTTAGGATGACGGACGACACCACCAAAAATACAACTCACTCGTTGCTTTAATAGTGCTATTTGTAAATAAATAGTACTTAAACATATTGATATTTTATGAATGAGTACTTTATTGAGGTTTATTGTTGTTTTTTGCGTGTGTAACAGTGACCGAGATTTATGTATTAGGTTAGGTAATTCTTTTCAGCGCCTGCCTTTATTATTGTTCCGAAGCAGTGACAGAGTTACATAGTTGTATTATGTTGAGGCCTATTGAAATCTAAAGTTGCTGATAATATTTATCTGTGAATTCGTATTATGAAATCTAATATTAAATTATTGTAATCATTTGAAAAGTTAACGTAACATTCTATTATATTATTATTCTCGTATCTTGTTGCCTAAATGCGTACCTAATCTTTTATTCTTTTCAAATCTAAAACATTAGTAGGTACTTACCAAGATTTTTATCGTATATTTTTATTACAGGAGTAAGCGCTTGGCCAAGAGCGGCATCAGGTGCTCCGCTTCCCAACGCTAGACTGTTAAGTCTCCGCCTATTCCCTGACAGACAGCTGGTCAGCCCCATATGGAACTTGAATGCCCAGCAGTGGGGCCAGATCATAACCCACGACATGTCGCTTACTGCTGGCGTGGCGCAAACCCGTAAGTAACTGAGTCACAGGTCGTTAAGTAACTTTAATGTTTAATTAAATTCCTAGCTGGAAAATTTTCCAATAAAGAAAGGGGTGTCTAGGACATTTTAGTTAACACTAGCGGCCGCCCGCGACTTCGTACGCGTGGATCCCGTTTTACCCCCTTCATCTATCTTACGCGGTTTAGATTTTTTCATACAAATGTTTTTTTCCGCTAACTCCCGTTCCCGTGGGAATTTTGCAATATCCTGTTGTAACTAAGCTTTAAGTTTACTAAGGTACCTGCACGCCAAATTTCAAGCGTCTGACTTAAGCGGTTTAGATTTTTCATACAAATGTTTTTTCCCGTTAACTCCCGTTCCCGTGGCAATTTTGCAATATCCTGTTGTAAATAAGCTTTAAGTTTACTAAGGTACCTGCATGCCAAATTTCAAGCGTCTAACTTAAGCGGTTCAGATTTTTCATACAAAACGATTTTCCCGCTAATTCCCATTCCTGTGGGAATTCCTAAGTATCCTATAACCTGCCCAGGAGTATGAAGAATAATTGTACCAAGTTTCGTTAAAATCCATCGAGTAGTTTTTGTTTCTATAAGGAATATACAGACAGACAGACAGACAGACAGACAGACAGACAGACAGACAGACAGACAGACAGACAGACAGACAGACAAAAATTTTACTGATTGCATTTTTGGCATCAGTATCGATCACTAATCACCCCCTGATAGTTATTTTGAAAATATATTTAATGTACAGAATTGACCTCTCTACAGATTTATTATAAGTATAGATTATTTTCGGGGTCTTTGATTTTCAAATAAACATCCATTCCAATCAATAGGTACAGTTTAGAGCTACATAAGTAACAAAAACCTTTCGATAACATATGGAGCACATCACTAATAACGTTTAAATGAATAAAATACGAGCTATATCCACTCGTATAAACCCACTCACGTGTCATTTATAGCAATCGTAGTATTCGCAAATGGTCATCACTCATTTGTCACATTAGATTTCGGCGTAACTTGATCTCTAATTTGCATCGTTCGCTCTAAATTGACCGTTTTCCTCTAAATCATGAAGCTCTCGTTTTAGCGGACTGATTTTGAAATATGTATGTCACCGGAAAATAACAAGACTCGTAAGTTGATCAATTTTCTAGGTAGTTGATCAACTCTCGGAAAATAATAAACGGCATTTGAAATGTACTATTTAACGTATGTATTTTAGTAAGTTGATTAATTTACGGCGTCTTGCCGTTAAATCATCCGACAAAGGCAAGGTGCACGTTGATTGGTTAAAAGACTCACGTGCTTTTATACCGCTCCCCGCCACCCGGCCGCCGCCATTACCGGCTTAAACGTAAATAAATCTATCTATTATCTTTATTTACAGTAGTAAAATTAGCAATTGTTGTTTTGTTTGGTAATAATTCTTATTATAACCCGTGATTTTANATAAATATTAAAACCACATATCTAAGTGTTTGTAACTCTATGAATAAACACTTGCTAAATGCTTATAATTAAGGCTGTCGACCAATCAGAGAAAAGTGTATTAAGTGACGGATAATAGTGTACCGTCAAATAGTACACTGGGCAACGATTGGTCCATTTATGGATGATTTTACTTGTAGCAATATAGTTAATTAATAAATTACGGTTAGGTACCGTAAGTTGACCAATTAGCTAAAATTCAATGCGTTAAATTTCAACTGCCGTTTATTATTTTCCGAGAGTTGATCAACTACCTAGAAAATTGATCAACTTACGAGTCTTGTTATTTTCCGGTGACATGTATAAGGAAATTTATTGATACAGAGCAATAAAAATTACTCAATCCTCAAACGAAAATATTTTTATACATAACACAACCTACGTACACGTTTCTAAATACTCCTGATGTTCAAATAATGTTGAGTCTAAAGAAAATAACATTTTGACACAAAATAAAATCACACAGAGCTAAATAAAAAGCGGACTCCATTTCAAAATCCTTCCAGACAGAGGCAATATTCGAGCCGAGTTATCCTAGATGTAAAGAAATTCAATATCGCGTTCGTGAAAATACCTTAAAAGCTTGGGTGAAGCGCGAAATGCAAGGCTTATATGATTATTGGCAGAGACTTAGAAACATATTCGAGTGCTAAAATTAGAACAAATTCATTTTCGTAAAAAAAGTAATCCTATATTTTCCGGACCGGAAAAATACTTAAATCTCTTCTCTTCGATTTAAAGACAAGTTAGTTTAAGTCCTCAATAAATCCTCGGTAATGAAAAGTGAATCTTATTGCACTAATTTTAAGTTCACAAACGAGTGTGTTTTTGATTGATTAAATTTATTGTTACGTTACCGAAGCATTACCTACTTTTGCTGTCAATTACTTGACAAAGTGATATTAAGTCTTAAAATATTTATTTCAAAAATTAATTACTGAATTTTTACTAATCTATACTTATAATAAATCTGTAGAGAGGTCAATTCTGTACATGAAATATATTTTCAAAATAACTATCAGGGGGTGATTAGTGATCGATACTGATGCCAAAAATGCAATCAGTAAAATTTTTGTCTGTCTGTCTGTCTGTCTGTCTGTCTGTCTGTATGTTCCTTATAGAAACAAAAACTACTCGATGGATTTTAACGAAACTTGGTACAATTATACTTCATACTCCTGGGCAGGTTATAGGATACTTATGAATTCCCACGGGAACGGGAGTTAGCGGGAAAATCCTTTAGTATGAAAAATCTAAACCGCTTAAGTTAGACGCTTGAAATTTGGCATGCAGGTACCTTAGTAAACTTAAAGTTTAGTTACAACAGGATATTGCAAAATTCCCACGGGAACGGGAGTAAGCGGGAAAAAACATTTGTATGAAAAAATCTAAACCGCGTAATATAGATGAAGGGAGTAAAACGGGATCCACGCGTACGAAGTCGCGGGCGGCCGCTAGTTTTAGAATAAATGTGTTAAAAAACGTATGAAATATGCATTGATTTATTATTAAACTTTTGATTAATTAGTTAAGATACTGCATTTTCAACTCAGAATTTGTATACATATTTACCGGTTTGTTAAGCTATGTACGTTGTTGTAGGTAAATAGTTCAACTTTGCAACATAAATATTTAGACTGATGTGCTCGCGACTGTACCTACTATTTATTGTACTATCCGTTCGCGATAAGTTTGTCGCTGGCGATATGACGTCACTCGAAAGCGTCTATAACTTTAGCAAACTAATTATGATATATCGAAAATATTTTTTATTTATTAATATTGATAAAAATTGTGTATTTGCGTAAAATAAAACACTCAATTGCGTTTAATCGCGGTTGGAGGAGGGGACGCGCATTCTACGGACCGGCAAACTTAGCGCGAACGGGTAGTACCTACCTACATATTGTGTATGTGTGTTTATTTTAAATTCCTTTAATTTTTATGGTGACTTTCAACAGATAAAGACAACGTAACGAGTAACTCAAATTCAACGTGTCGACATAGTGGTAGTAGAGAAGACAGTAGTAGTAGTGAAGAGAGTGGTAGTACTAAATCTAGTGTGTTTTTGGTGTGTTTTATGAGTTTTGAGTTGTGCTTCATAGTTGATTTATTAATTTTATGCTATTGGGATTTTTAAATTTTTAATAGACGCCAGCTGACATTTTTGGATTTGAAAAGGTGGACAGGTTTTACTGAGTATTTCATATTCCGTTAGCTTAATTCATCTGAGTCATTTTGTCATCTTTCATTTTTTGTTCGTGTGTGTGATTTATTTTATTACGAACAATCGTTTCATCAGTCGATACAGTGCTTAAAAGAGGCTATAAGTTTTTGACTGAAAATGGATGCTGTTGGATCGAAGGCTTATTATGTTCGTTAACTTTAGAAGCAATCTTTAGGCTAAATGATCATGCTGAGGAATAATAAAATGAAAAATATCAACTTTTTGTGATGTGTGCCCGTTTTGGGGTTGTGAATTGCTGTTATTATACCTCTTTAATGCCAAGTTTTTAAGGGTACAACAAAGAAATGAAAGGGAGGGTCCGTTTCTTTTATATCATGGCCTTTTTTGGGTTGTTTTGAGTTTTGTTTTGGGAGTTTTGTTGTGCGTTTTAATTTGGTAATCATTTTAAAATGCTCCTTATTATTTTAGACAAGGATCAGCTAACATGCTGTGACAACAACGGGCGGCTGGCTCCAGACTCGGCCACCAATCCGACTTGCGCCCCGATCCTGATTCCTCCCAACGACCCGGTTCATGCTCCCCAGGGAACCCAGTGCATGAACTTTGTGAGGACCACCAGCACTCGTGATAGAGGATGCACAGGCCCCAATGCTCCTGCAGAACCTGTAAGTAGAACTATAGATAAAATAGGTAATTGAGTAAATTGTAAGCTTGATTGAGTGATCTAGACTGCTACTATTATGTATTCTGTGACTGTGCCTAGACTGAAATCCGATTTTGCCCAATAATCTAGTACAAGGAAGTTTTTGTTACACTAACTATAATAGTGTATGTAAGCGAAGGCACGAGCGAAATATAATGAACGCGATGCGACTAAAATAGCCTGAGCTTCCATTCAAACGCAACATAGGTATCGAAACATATCGCTTGAAACGCACAACGCCTATTCGCTACAAACATAATTACCGCTTGAAACGCACATTGGTTTCAATACAAACATTCGTTGAATGTGCATGCGAATACGTTTGTTGTTTGGTTTGCGAATTATCGTGCTTCAGTTAGCAACACGTAGCACCAACTCCCGATTATTGTACGGTACAAGTTCATCGTTAAAATTGATGCTAAAAAAGTGTATGATTTCAGCAGCTCAAATATATTGTTACTTATATTAGAACCAAGCGCAAAAATCACATTCATTTTAACTATTGTACACACAATGAAAGATGTTGACATAATTGATATTTACCTACTATCAATTTGTTCATAACAACAATCACAGAGAATTCATATTTACAACAACTTTTCTGGGAAATATGAGCTTGAACGAATTGGAGGGGCGATCGACGATAAAATGATATGAAAACGTTTTGGCGCGCACCCATGCTCTCAATTTAATAAGTATTTTATGCACAGGTTCACATGAGCAAATAACTTCGCGGAAATATAAAATAAGTATCCGTTTTGATAAAATATTGCTCTATATTTTACCAACCTGTTCCAGGAATAGAGAACTGAGGACGAGTGCTGTCAGGTTTACATTTTTAATATCGAAAATATTAAATGAAGCGGTGATAATTACATTTGTGAAAATTCGTGAGGCGCGCTACTGGGAACTGGCCACCTTTGAACTCGATTATAATTTTAAATTGACTAGGGCAGTTTGAAACTGTTAATATTATCAACCCAACTTGGTGTTATGAATTGTTGTTTGCCCAACTATTTCTCAATTGCCCGGATATAATTAAAAGTAAATATTAGGGAACTCGACTAAAATTTCTTATTAATAAGCCCTGTGTGGAATAAATAAGTAGAGAATAAACAAGTAGTAAAACAATATTATTCTTTCAAAATTTATAAAACAATGACACGCAAAATTACTGGTCGTTATGGTACATGATTGTATGATCGTTCAGTTTCCTCTAAAACATGCAATGGACAAGTTATTGAACTGATTATATTTTTATTCAACTAAGGACCGGAAACAAAAACCCGATGTCCTTTACCCATCACCTATAGTCATGTTCCTCGCTAGGGTATATTGGCAATAAAATGTAGATTCCACTTTACTTACTTCTTTTACTATTTGCTTTTTCTCCTCCAATGCCAGAGAAAAGAGATTTATATACGCTACAGTATTATAATCTCTTTTATATAAGCTTAATATGTACAAGCATTGTAATTTTGTTCCAGCTGTCAACAGTTACAGCATACATGGACATGTCCCTTACATACGGCAGCAGTACAAGCCAGGCTACTCCAATCCGCGCATTCCGTGGTGGACGTCTTCTGACCGTGCTGAGAGGAGGCCGAGAGTGGCCCCCTCAGGATCCCAACATTACCCTCACTTGCGAGTCGGCGCAGTCGCGAAATGAACCTTGTTATTTGACAGGTAAGTTTTCTTTTTGAAGATACATGAATCCAACTTCAAATTGGAGGTTTTAAGTGGTTTAAAATACTTATGTTGTATTGAAAATGAGAAATATAATTGGCTTCAAAGTGTTTTTTACGACTGTAGACAGTAAAAAGCCAAATCTTTCCCCTGGCGAAACTTAACATGCGACCTGACAGCGTCTTATATAAATTTGTGAATATTTATCTCACGTTATGAAATATGACTTCTGTGCCTGGCTTAGTCGTACGCTGGGGACCGTTTAGTCGCCAAGAATGGCAAGAAATATATTCAAATCATGACCTTTATATGACCTTCAGACGGCACGTGAAGTGTCTTATAGGACATAAGACTGGACAGCTCTAAGACTAGAGTAGGGTTAGTAAAGCACATAAATGAGAAGGTTCCTTTGGAAGTAGAACGGTGTTACAGGAGTAACGTAGGACGTCACGTAACAGAGTTATCACGGCAAAAGTGACGTTTCACGAAAACTAAACAAACCTTCCCGTTCAATGCCGCAGGGACCTAACCAGTTAAGCGCTATACCTTAGAATTGTCATTCAGTGACATGGTATGATAAATCGTTAGGTATTCCATTATCCTGCCAGTTTTATACACTGTGGCTTACCAGAAAAAAGTCTCACGATACCAATTGACTGAGGATTTTATGTTTTAGGTGACATCCGTACAAACCAGAACCCTCAACTGGCCATTCTCCAAGTGCTTCTCTTGCGTGAACACAACCGCCTTGCTGATAGTCTTGCCAGCCTCAACCCTCACTGGAGTGACGAGATCCTCTACCAGGAGGCTAGACGTATCCACATCGCACAGTTCCAGCACATCAACTATTATGAATACCTGCCAATCTTCCTTGGTAAGTTTATTTATCTACGTTTAATTCAACATTTTCACCAATTTATTCAATCCAATGTTATGTTCAATGTTTCAAGAAAAAAAGTCTAATCATTTTCCATTTGTACTGTAAACTACTAAATTATCATGATCATAGTGGATAATAGTAGGTACTAATCAATTATTACCATCTCTTAAAGCAGAATTATTAAGGTCTCATAAACCTCTAGCTAGCTAGAGACAAGTTTTTTTAATTTAGAATTTTTAAGAACTCTCAAAGCTCTAGAGAAATAAGTTAAGAATTCCAAAGTCAAGGTTAGCCATTTTCCCGTTTCCTTAAAACCCAGTTTTACGATAGGTAATTTGGTATGCTTACCCGTTTTATAACCGTCATCGTGGATTTCATGGCCACCATGATTGCAAACGTCATTCATACCATTTTAGGAGATTACGGCTATGTCACAGTCAGGTAGTTTAATATAAGCTTATGGGGTTGCAAAAGAGGTAGTATTGTTTAACAAGTGTGTTGAAAGCATTTGTGCAGACGACGGCATATCAAGCTCAATAATGTGACATCATGCAATAGTAATAAAACATATTTTGCAACAAAATGTATGGTCTGATAGTGCTGTCGACTATACGAATATATTATTTCGAAGAAACATTTTCTCAATGGTAGTCGTGTTTTAATTATTTTTTTCGATTTGGTATAGACAAGAATCTGACCGCATTCTCACGCGAAGTGTAATCGCAATTAAGGTATCTACTGTCGTCTGCTTGGCATATGCCCTCTTGCCTTAAAGGGTCATGTGATGTGATATCATCATATAGTGAACCCAGCACCAGAAAAATTTGCGCTTTGTGTAGGATGGAGAAACAGATATTACGTAGACAGCATCTGTTTCCACTAAAGTGGAATATCTTCATATCTCTTAACACATTTCTAGTTACGAGTACCAATCATGCGAAACGATTCGATTCATTAGCAGATTTGGGTAATTGATTGTCTAACATGGTAGAGTGATAACCTTGGTTCTGACGTGAAACGGGTGACACCCCTTGCAGTCATTTGATACACGCGCGGAATGATAATAGTTATCTATTCTGGGACTACAAGAGCCAAATTGTGTCTCCTTTGTTGGAAAATCATACAATATATCATACAGACTTAAAAAGACTTAAGGTTGGGCCAAAATTATATTTAAGTTGCTTGCCTTTGAATGATTGAAACATTTAAAGTTTACAAAGTAAATTCAATACTAGGTGAAATAGATAATGCTGCTGTTCTTTTATATTCATAGTGTGCTACTAACTACCCAGTGTTTAGTGAGCGAGGTTCAAGCTCGGTAATTAATGGTCTAGTGAACTTTAATAAATGTAAAGTCCGTGAATATTAGACATGATGGAGCGTATAGTTGGCGCTATTTGAAATTAGCAATCTTGCGAAAATTTAAGCACGAGTAACATTGTGTTCGGTTACTGAATAAATCTACTACAAGAAAAATATTTTTAAATTATCTACCTAGATAATTATAATTTGTAGTGTTAGTAGTCTGTTATTTTTTCGCAAACAAATTGCCTTCTGAAGAACATTAAGCCAACTGTACATCTGTTAATAACAGGTTTTAATTTCAGTTGAAAATTACCATTATCGACACAACATCGGTTATTACATGCGAACATTGACCTTACCGTTTCAGACTTAAGTCAACGGACTTGGAAATTTCACTGAACTTCTTTTAAAAGTTATTTCTAGCCGTGAATCACACGAAGTCCATTACAATTTTTGTCGAGGGATTATACTGATTACGTCGGAAAACTCCTGTTAACACCCGTAAAGTTGAAGATTAACTTCACTTACTTAAATGAATGATATGAAAAATTTTTGTAAGCGCTTTTTTTTAAATCATCATAATAATGGAGAAGGAAAAGTTTTTGTGTTAAGTACCTACCTACCTACTAAATATTAAATTAGTAAGTAATAATATAAATTATACTTTTGGAAATAATGGAAATAAATAATGAAAACAAACATTACCATATGTGACAGAACTGACAGATCCAGAAATAAAGCGTTTACCTATAAAAATAAAAGTTAACTAATCCGGTGGATATCGTAAAAGAATATGAGAACATCAAGCTTTTCCAACCTGTCTGGCCAGTGCCAGGAGTGTAGGCCCAATTCTCTTTTACCTGTAATGAATTAACTAGAGATATTCGCGTTCCTATAGTGGAGACCCTGCAATGGAGACTAACTAAATGACCTCTTGAACTAATTAGTAGATTCTTGCAGCTCGAAGTTTATTCAAAATTATGTTTTATACAGGTATTTTAGGGTTGTTTTTATTTATGTCCAGGCTATGACAACATGGTGAAGAACAAACTGATATACCCGGGAGCGCAGGGCTACATCAATGACTACAATCCCAACGTCGACCCGTCGGTCTTGGATGAGCACGCCACTGCCGCGTTCCGGCACTTCCACACGCTTATTAGAGGATACTTGAAGTGAGTAATTGTATTTATTAACAACTGCCTATTTACTGTCAATAACTATCGTGTAATTGTTCCTATTAGAGGTCACACTAATTGCAGACTAAGCAGATTTTGTTAGACCAAGTAATTTCTAACTAAGACACAATAATATTATTATTTACTTGTGAATGATTTAATTTTGCGATAGTTTCGCTTAGTTCGTGCAGACGAAAGCACATTTTCGTTGTAAAATCACTCCTATTACAGAGAATAAGATGCCATAGTGTTTATCTTAGAAAATAGAGAACGTAGAGATGCAATCACGTAATTTAATCGCTCATGAATGTGATTATGTCTACAAGCTCAGAGCCTGCAGGAATTAGTTAATAAACTTTAACAGATACATATGAATATTCTATAAACTTTCGTAAACCAGACTCTGAAAATATGGATGGTACAAGGCGGTTTCACACTGCACTGCGCTCTGACATACTGACATACCTTCCGCGCGCCGTCACAATGTGTTTAACATGTGTATCAATTATGCTAACTTAGGTGCGGATGACGGCGGATGATAACTTATTACTCTGTAGCCCCAATGTACTTGTATTAAGTGCTACTTTGCCTTGATGTGCTCTAGACTGTATGATATTTAAATCTGCGGCCCCGCTTCGTAGCGCGGTGCAGTGTGATAACCGCTTGGAGATAATCCCGTTTGTTCACTAAAATACACGCGAAAAACTAAGAAACTTGGTCGGAGTCCAACAATCTAAAGTATAAATTTAATGGAATACGATTGTTATAATTAAAGCCTTCCTTGGTTTTACAAACATTGGCTAGCACTGTTGGATGACACACTTTTTAGTTAAACGGCGATTTTCGTGTTAAATAAAATTAATGGTTTTGTGTAAAACACTTAAAGCCCTTTGATCCAAGTTTTAGAGGAAAAAGGTCCAAAGAAAAACATTAAACGGGAGAAAAACGCCGACGGGCGTGGGTGTGATTGGATTTCTAGCTCTAGCTCAATAGATTGACCTCGCTAGGTTTCGAGTAATCCTAGCAAAACTAAGTTAGATTTCATAAGAAAACAAAAGAAAAATAACTTTGTTTTGTCTCTTTGATAATCCTATTGTGCTTAAGATCTACTCGTAATATTTAAAGCTAGTTTTTGAGACTCCTACGTTATTTTGACGTATAAAGAATAAATACTGTAGTGTCATAAAAATCCGCGGGCGACCACTAGTTTATAATATTAGTAGGGCAACTCTACGAAAAAGATATTTTAACACGTAGTACTTTCATCGTAAATCACTTACAAGAATTTATTACGTACGATAAATACTACCTAATTTGAAATGTGTCCAATTCAAAGTGACCCCGACATTAAAGTGAAACTGAATAAGGGCCAATCCTGGGCCCATAATTTAGGATATTCACGTGTACAATCCGCGCGAATAGACACTGACAATTTTACTAACAAATAAACCTGAATAACATTGAAACCGAGATGTAAGTATAACTCTGACTGCAATGCTATGTGTACTTACCCCCGGTTTCCGAATTGAAGTTCTTAACTTAAAAGTGGTCATCTTCCACTCAAGTATGAACTCAAGCTTATTCTCGATCCTCATTTAATCTGAATTGACAGTAGATCAACTTCGAGAATTGGGCTTGAGTAATATCTAATCAATTAAAGGATAATTCAGAAGCGAAAATAGGCTCACACTTAAGTAGAGAATGAGCACATCAAGCTCAAAATCTTAATTTTACCAAGGGTGAGGCAGTCCGTAATCTCTAATTTCCAAAATTTACAGAGTCTATTGCCGCAGACTATAGATTGTATTATCGGATACATCCACGATGAAATATGGTGTCTGACCAGAATAATACTTTCCAGAATGTTCTCCGAGAGACGTGCCGTGGTTGGGACCGTCCGCCTCAGCGATTGGTTCAACCGACCACTGATACTTGAGCTCCGATCTGCCTTTGACGACTTGGCCAGAGGGCTCACGACTCAAGAAGAAGACTACAGTGACCAGTTTTGGGACAGTGAAATCACGCAATTCCTTTTCAAGTAAGTGAATATTGAAGTTGTTAGGTCTCTCGAACGGGTAGTTTCGATTAGATTGAAAACTTCATGCTGAAGCGTGCGTCGTGTTTGGTCTGGAACATGTTCGTTGAAATTTCAGACTTAGTAAGTATTCTTGAATAAGAAAGTAGGAGATATCTACTCTATACATGGATAGATCATCTGTAGACCTAATAAACTAAGTGCTTTTATTTAACTACAACAACTAAGTAGTCTTACTAGACAATAATAGAATCTAGAAATCTTGTTAACAAATAAAACAAAGCAAACTAACATAGGCATCGAGTTGTTTGTTTTAGATAAGCAAAATTAATTAACTTGAACATAAATATAAAAATTCAAATAATGTTGCAATCACTGAGAATTTCTATCTCTGTATTAAATAACACTATCTCAAATCATTCAAGATTCACGAAATTCTAAGAAATATGCGTTCCTTGTGTTGTTTAGAAACTTGTTGATGATATAGCCTTCAGTAAATTGTTTTGATGGTGATTTAAGACCCCTGAAGGGATAGCTGAAATAACAACAACTTAACTATCTAGTTGGCGTCAACAAACTTATTATTCCATGCAAACTCGGGGTATGTTGACTTATATACGGGGTTGCCACTTGCTCGTTTTTCTACTTTTTAGTTAGATCGAGCGGTTTTGCACTACTTACGTCCGATCCGAATCCTTGAAAATACGCTCCGGATAGTTATTTATCTTTACTAAGGAAACATACAGCCTTATTAAGCCGATACTGTGTTGATCCCTTTCCGGGTCAATAAGTAAGTGTATAATTTTAAACGAAATTAATTACTTATATTATAATAATAAAAAACGAAATTAATTACTTATACATTGGTCTTTAAAGTTTCTAAAGTCGTAGAACTATGCACTGCTAGATATTGACTGATACGACTTAATATCGGATTCGAATCGGACGAAACCGCCCTTATTCTGAGTAAATTTGTGTGCAATCAAGCGATTTAAAACGATTACTTTGTATGTATCAATTTGTAGATTGTAAGCTTAAGCGGCTGGCTTAGTAAGAACCTAATGGACCCGAGATTGTGGCAATTAGGGGGATGGTTCATTATGGTGAATAGCCACACTTTGGATAAAAAATTTTGGGTATTTCTTATAAATTGTGCTCGTCTTTACGTAGGTTGTTTGAAAAAATATTTAGTCACTTCTTTGTAGATTTGATTGTTCGCAATTTTACAGCCTTTAGAAATGATGTTAATTAATTAATTAGTACTCGGTACATAAGACAAGATACCAATCAGTTATCTAATTAATTTGGTACTACTCACTAAGGTGCTAATAATAGCCTGAAATCTTCAAATTATAATATCTCACGCGTTTAATGTGGCCATGTAGTTTGAATGAGAGTACCAATCGAATAATTCGCACTATTTTTGAGTAATTATAATAGTACAAGTGTAAGTACCTACTTACGATAATAAATTTTTTTGTAGCGCAATCAAAAGAGCTTCTTTAAAGCATAGCATTATTACACCCGTATTCACAAACATTACTATGAGGTCTAACAGCGCGCGTGGACGCACAGGGTGACACACGAACCAATCACAGAGCTCTATTCAACGCTTGTTACTTCGATAGTGAGTGCAGTGGAAGTTATTAAATGAAAAGAGTGGACTGTATAAAATTAATTGTCTATTCGGTATAAATTTACAATGATATTGAGACTGTTTAGTGCAAAGTCGTTGAAGAGAGTGCGTCAGGATCGTCTTCTTAGATGTTCGCTCGCGAACCGAACATTGCTCGTTCGTTCGCCGAACGCTCGCCGTTCCCTCCGGTCACGCCGCCCGCGGGCAATGTCCGTGAGTAGACAACTCTGTGCGTTCGATTTGCCGCTTCACTTATGCAAGCATCGTGTATACGGGCGTCAATTTCGATCCGACCAATCACACCTTATATCTACTACATTATACTCGTACTCTTCTAGACGTAACAACACCTTCGGCGGCGACCTCCGGGCCACAGACATCCAGCGAGGCCGCGACCACGGCTTGGGAACCTACGTGGCCACCAGAGCGGCCTGTGGACTGCCCGTGCCTAATGACTTCCACGATCTCTTGGACTTCATTTCAGAAGAGGTAAGATTACGTTTTTATGTGGAAAATGATAGGAAATGATGGTAAATACAAAACATAAATACTTAGGCTAAGTTGCACTACCTAACTTTGATCGTAACTATAACGGTAACCGGTGCTTTTTGTAAGGAGTTTGATAAGTATTTTTGACGTTTGTCAAAGTTAGGCCCAGGACAGACGGTGAAACTCAACTGCAACGAAACTGCAACTTTCTGATGATACTGAAGAATGAAACTGAAACTGAAAGTTTCAAACTGGTCGCGTCATGTGTGGTCTCTCAACGGGAGCTATGGCAGAAACTTAGATGCAACTCAAAAGTAACTAGCAGTTGCAGTTTTGTTGCAGTTGCGTTTCACCGTCTGGTCTGGGCCTTAAAGTAAAATGGTGCAACTCAGCCTTATGCTTTATTTATGTCAGAAAAAAACCGTACTGGTCGATTTTTCGCTTTAATACATAATAAGGACGAGTGTGTAAGTAAGTTGTAATTCAAAATGCTTAACTGCTAAAAAGGTTTTTGTTAATATTTTACAGTCCTAGTGAAAACCAAAGAAATATCAAAAATGGGAAAAGGACCATTAAAATCATAAAAACTATCAAAAAATGTAGCTCTGTCGTATCAATCTTACCAAAACATTTTCACATGAAAATGTTGCTAAGACTAGACTAGACGCGTGAAAAAGTTATATGAGCTCATGTAACTCTACTTGCCCTCTCTACACCTTAGCCAAAATAAGTGTAGAGTTTGTAAAGAGAACCTTGCATTTAGCTATATTATGCGATCTCAATCTCATGTTAAGTCAGGCAGGCTGTGTACTCATAGACTCAATGATAGTCGGGAAGGTCCCGATATCGAAATTATCCATTTGAAGTCACTGGGTTGAAGTTGAAACGGCACGTGACTACGAGATAAGCCAGTGATTGGAAGTTACGTTCTAGATTATTGATGATACAATTCCATAGATCGATTTTCATAGAAACAAGTAATAAGCTCTAGAGTAGAGTAACAAACAATGTTTCTTTGGTACAACTATTTTATGTGTAAATATTATGAAAATGATTCGACTTCGCATTTTCAATAAACTTTTACCTATACTTGTAGGTATTAAAATTTCATAAAAGTTACAATGAGTGTAGGTACCGTAGGCATAATTTTCGATAAATCGGTATTTCCAGAAATTATTAATTATTGTTTACAGTTTATTGCCCTGAAAGTTTACAAAACAGCAATAGGTAACGTGATATTTGTTGTTTGTGCAAAAACAAAAAAGATGTATAATTCACTGGAAACAGAGGAAGCTAAGGTTATGGAGGTGTATTTATTTTATTATATTATCTGATAAAAATATCAGCTCAAAGAAAAACACAATCAGGGACATCAGTTTCATTACCATAAATTGTGAGACGCCGTTTAAGTTTTGTTTGTGTTCCGTGGAATTATCTCCTGTTCTGTGTACATTGGAATAAGGCCCATATTTGAGTAACCAGGTAGCCTTAAAAGGAGCATTCATAAACAAAAAGAAGCCCTTTCTAATCCGACGTGATGTTGTCTATTGTGGGCACTAAACAAAGTCAGATTCAAGCACCCTTTGTTGTGGAGAAAAACATAATTACTGAGATACAAAATTCACTCAGGTCACCTTAAATAAATGCCCGGCATCGTAAGAAGTTTTTGGTAATAATTGAAAAAGAAAAATGTATTTCGTTTTACGTTGAACCTTTTCAGTCCTTCTTCTTTTTCATCAAATAAAAGAACAATAGAAATGTATGTTTCTATATTTTTAATACCAATTTAATCAAATAAATCTCATAGGACGTGTCCTAATTCCATAATTTACCTATTTCTAGATATGTTAAACGCTAGGTATCTAAATAAGGTCAAAAGTTGTTTTAATCAGTAATCATTCAATCATAATATTATCGTTTTGTCGGTTTGTTGTTCTTGTTTCTTCCGCGGGATTTTCAAAAAGCAAAATCAACTTTCAACAATTATTTTGATTAAGTAGATATTATCTTTATCTGTCATCATAATACAAAGATAATTTTAACCGTAATATTCACAAGAAACATAACAAGAAAGTAAGTTCCACCAGATATTTTGTTAAAATCGTTGATCGCTATGATTTAGAACAAACATGACGTGTAGATGGATTTAAAAATATTCTCTTGATAGCAGCTTGTGCCTATTTTATATAATTAACTCATTTTCTTATACCATCTCATACCACCTCACATACCAACAAATCCAACAATAGGTAGGTACCTCTTACCCTAAAAAGTATTCAACAACCTCAATATCCATTTTTTTTTAATTTTCTAAGTACTTCAATTTTATTGGTCTTCGCGTTGGTACCATAATTTCGGATAGATTTAGGATAGCATGATATTAAAACTTTAGTTTAGAGAATTATGTACGAGTTCATGATAACATAAAATATTAGAGGATACATTCCATTTTTTCTCTGCAGAATTATTATATGAATTCCTTGCGTTCTTCAAGGGAACGAAAAATGTTATTATAACAAAAACGTATTACCTATATTGCATGTAGGATGAATTCCATCTTATAGTTGTTTACTCTAATACACAGAACGTAGCGGTTCTTGAAGACACATACCAGTCAGTACATGACGTGGAACTGGTGGTGGCTGGTTCTTTGGAAAGGAACGTGCCCGGTGCACAGGCTGGGCCTACCTTCCTATGCATCTTGACTGAGCAGTTCTACAGAACAAGAGTGGGAGACAGGTACTTCTACGAGAACGGAAAGGACTCTAACACTGCATTTACGCCCAGTAAGTATTCGTGGATAAGAAATAAAGTAAATACTTTTACATAGAAATAATATCAATTATGATAGGTTACAAATATTAACCATTACTCTTATGGAAAAACAGCAGGATGTTAAGACGATGAATCTAAAAAGGAGGTGTGCGTGGTAATTTTTTGTCTCTAGCTTTTCGTCACTATCACTTCGACTACAAAGTGATTGACGAGACAGCCATTATCATCTTGACTAAAATCCTCCAGTGTGCACCCTCAAACCTTGAATGTTTAAGGAGATCAGTACATATTACTTTACTTGCGAAAGAAAACTGAGTTACGTTGAGAAACGTTGTGGATAAAAAAAAACATCAGTTTTATAGCTCAACTTCTTAAATTGTCCATAAAATTACCCTCAACCTGAAAAAGTAATAGGCTTTTATTTTATTTTGCTGTAAATAGACTTACGTCGAAAAACGTGCACATAAAAACTTGAAAGCCAATGCTTTCTCGCGCGAGGTTCGCTGGTAATTGAATAAAAGGGGTGTGAATCCCCGAGCAAAAAGTATCTAATCAACCAACATGTGGTCGGGGAAGTTCCGAATGTTCTACCCACAAATTGATCTGGAAGTTTGACCCGTACTGCCGTATAAATAAGGGTAGAGACTCTTCGTGGTCGATACAGTTCCGATGTCAGAAGTTGCTTCCGAATAAAAGAACCCAAAGTTAATTGAATTTCAGTCAGCCAGTGTTCAGGTGGAATTTGGTGTAGTGTTTCAGAACGGACTACTATGCCGAGAGGTCCCGGGTTCGATTCCCGGCCGGGCAGAAATTGAAATGATGAATTTTAATTTCTGTGACGGGTCTGGGTGTTACTATGTATAATATGTATGTATTTTAAAAAAAGTATATAAGTAGTATATCCGTTAAGCTAGCACCAATAACACAAGCATATTAATTGCTTACTTTGGGGCTAGATGGCGCTGTGTGAGATTGTCCAAAGATATTAAAAAAAAATATGATTGCGCAGGTCAGTTGAAAACAATCCGGACCGGGTCGAGCATGGCTCGGATTCTCTGCGACAACTCTGACGGGATCAACGTTATGCAACCGAAGGCGTTCCAGCAAATTGGCCATGGGTAAGTTATTTGGACTGTGCTATGTGAAAATGTGTCAACTCAAAAAGTGCAAAAAATCACTCATATTCTTGAACTTTTTGCAATCAATTGCAAGTAATTAAGATTAAAGTCACTCAAATTTCTAACTTAATGGAGTTTTATCTTTATCTCCATATACAGTGTGAGTCACGTTAAAGTGTACATATGAAAATAGATGAAACTAGACCTATTTTTATCGACAAAAAAGAGGTCAAAAAATTTTTGAGATTTTTCTTAAATTTTTATACAATTTTTTTTCTTCAAATTACTTATTGTAAAGAAAACGTAATAACTTTTAAACTAAGCGGTATATCCTAATAAAATAAAAACAGTAATAATGCTAAATAACAGGCGATCCTAAAAAAATACATAAAATACACAAAAAAGGCCAACAAATAATAAAAAATGATACTTTTTGAAAAAAATCTGCTTTTAAATTCGTGTTTTTTTATTATTTGATAAATTTCTCCAAAAAATGCCCCTATAACCGGTGGTTTTTATTACGTTGTATTATTTTCTATCGTATTACCTTTGTAAAACCAAAAATCGCATGTCTCTATCCCTATCACAACATTTGCTATGATCGTTTCTACAAAGGCCTGCCACAACATTATTCTCCGCTACAGGTAGAGACAATTTTAATTTTAACTAAAATGCTTATTTTACTTCGAAATCTTTTGTTTTTATTTGAAATCTAACTTGTCTTTATCAAAATTACAAATCTAGAGCCATTTTCAGTTTCGTTGTTAACGAAGCGTTGAATGGCGCGCCCGGAGAGGCTTAGTTCAAACGATCATTGCAAACGTTGTGATAGGGATAGAGACATGCGATTTTTGGTTTTACGAAGGTAATACGATAGAGAATAATACAAAGTAATAAAAACCACCGGTTATAGGGGCATTTTTTGGAGAAATTTATCAAATAACCAAAAAAACACGTATTTTATGTATTTTTTTAGTATTGCCTGTTATTTAGCATTATTACTGTTTTTATTTTATCAGGATATACCGCTTAGTTTAAAAGTTATTACGTTTTCTTTACAATAAGTAATTCGAAGAAAAAAAATTCTATAAAAAATTAAAAAAAAATCTCAAAAATTTTTTGACCTCTTTTTTGTCGATAAAAATAGGTTTAGTTTCATCTGTTTTCATATGTACACTTTAACGTGACTCACACTGTATTTATTGATTAGAGAATTTAACTTTTAATTTTAACACTCAACTATAATTTCTAATTGGATCTAATTTGAACGGGACATGTACATAACTTATTTACATAGGCATTTAATCTACAATCGTATACTTTTCCAACAACTCTCACCCTTAAATAGGTTAAGTTGGTACTTTCTTCGCCTTAAGGTTACATTTATGAATGTGCTCTAGAATTATTGACATGATTGTAGCACTTAATATACCGTTAGTATTTTCTATGTACGTTAATCAATACCGACACCATTTGATTTTTATCATACGAGTTCATTAACATAAGAGTCTGATTTTTATAGTATGAAAAGATTAATTAAGAAGATCATAATAACTCAATGATTTTAATACTTTTTTCAGAAACCAGTTAGTACCGTGCAACCACCTACCACGAATTGACCTGACGTTATGGCAAGACGCCCGAGGGAGGCTTACAAAATAATATTATTTAAGTCTAAACTTAATATTTTATAACAAAACCTTAAAAATGTGACTAACAAAATTTAAGTCAACAGTTACCCAAGGGCCGTGATATTAAAATACTAAGAAAACCTGCTGAAATCAGTTTTGATCACAAATTAGAAAGAAAGAAAATTACGTGTAAAACCAGAGTTGATGAATGAATGATTTTTTTTTCAATCAATTTATTAAAGACTAGCTTTTGCCCGCGGCTTCACTCGCGTGAAATTTAGTTTGTCACAGATCTTCGTAATTTATAACCTATATGTTATTCGGGGTTATAAACAGTAATACTGTAGTTTCATCAAAATCCGTTGAGTAGTTTTTGCGTGAAAGAGTAACAAACATCCAGACATCCAAATTTTCGCGTTTATAATATTATAGTAGGATTTATGAAGTTCAAATTAAGTTGAATTTTTTCATTATACATTAGGTTGAACTACAAAATAATGGGATAACTGTATTTTTCATTAAAACTTGACTTAGGTGCTTTTTATAGGTAATTTTATAGGTACGTTTTTTTTCAGTTGTGTTATTTTATCATGTTTTAATAATTTCAATCATTCTTGTGTTTTATTACTGAACGAACATTTTTAAAGGTAATTTTAATGAAAGTTTTGATTAATATTTATTGAGTGCTGAATGACAAAGTTATGTGTGTGATGTGTTGCCACTTAAAATTGAATAAGTAATTATTGCTCATTTTCGTCAACAATTAATCAATTTAGGGACCTCTTATGACGAAGATAACATTTATCCGTTTTGAGAGTTCCTTAAATTCAGAAATTGTTGGTGATGAGTTTATATCTAATTTACTTAATAATGTTAAATGTTAATGTTTGATGTAAAAATATTTCTTTGTAAATATCCAATAGAAAACATTTTGATGTAATTTAACATTTTAGGTCTTTCAAAGTGTGTAAATAAAAGATTTTATTAAGATAAAATTGTTTTCATTTAGAAATAATAGTAATTTAATACCATTAAGCATTCACTGCAGCCTTAAGTAAAAAGGTAATTTATGAGATGAGAAAATTATTACATAAAAGTCTACGATTATAACAAGGTCGAAGAGGTATTTAATCTAAGGACGTTTTGGGTATGATTGGTTCGTGACTACATTTAGGTATATACTTACAATAATAAATAAAAATGATATTACTAGCGTTTAGATGGATGTGCACGTACGCGAATTCGTTAAAAATATAAACCACCCGCCGCGCCCTTACGTGCTTAATTTGAAATGAACGTAGTAGTTCATTACAAGGGCAAAATATTAATTGCTCGTATTGCTTTCTAAAATGAATTCATAAATGGTAACGAACTTTATAATGATAATATTTTAATTTTGTACTTGTAATAAAGCTAGAAGATTGATGCCAGTAGTAAGATCAAGGTCTTCAAATTAAATTACTAAGAACAATACCATCACCATACCATACATGGAATTAGTGAGCAGCAGCAGTTCCATGTGGAACTAGCTACATGGAACTACTGAGAAGAAGTAGGTTGTTGTGGGAGGCGTAAAAAAACAATAGAAGCTTCCAAAATACCTATCGGTAGGTATTATATTTTTTTCCTATTAAGATTTTTTCAATGACTAACTAAATAGGGCTACCATATTTGCCCATGGCCCAGTTGCCACTGTTTGACAAACAGTGTTTGAGTGAACCGAACCAGTGGCGCTGACAGCGCAAATACGGTTGCCCTCAACCGTCGTTGTAATAAGGTTCATTATGATGACAAGAAAAATGATAAACTTTTTTCCGTGAACATTAAAACCGAACGCCTTCATAAAACTTCGCTGTTTTTTGTGCGAAATCTAATGCGTATCACATCGCTTTGCTCATCTCATTTCCTCCGTTTTCCGCCTTGAACGCCTATCTAAATCACTGTTAATTAACTCCAGTCAGGAAACTGAACCATAATAAAAAGAACAAAGAAATTTTATTAATTTGAATTCGCTCCAGAAGGCGAATAACTGATAATTGCGATTTGTTGCATTAATCAAGCCATAAAAAATTAATGAACGGGAAAATGGGAGAATATTTTGAATGGCGACTGTTTTTTTTTAAATATAGGCCCTCAGTAATTTCTTCTATTTCATAAGATTAATGGATGAATCCGTGCTTCGTATGGCAAGATAAATGGGCTGGCTACATATCAGCCGTATGAAAGTGACTCAAAAGTATTCCAATAAGCATTTGCCAAAACATAATGTAAGAGAACTGAGAATAATGAAGAGATAGGTAAAATTGTTTAATTCAACAATATTAATCTTGGCATCATAACTAAACTGGTCATCACAAAAATCGGCCCACCTACGTTTTACAGGAAAACTCGTTTCTACTGACACAATCATGGTGCCCCAACAATATTGGTGTTATTTGAAAGCCCAATAAATATCCTTAAAGAAAAACACATATAATTTCTTAATAAATGATTATAAACGATTAACATATACAATAAATATGTGACTTGAAAAAAGACCTCACTTTGGGCTCACCTCTGGGATCAATTAGATCAATTTTTATGGTTATAAAACCAAATAATGATCTCACGTGTCCTGTTTAACAGATGGATAGCGATTAATCCCAACTTAACAGTTTTATAGCCATAAAAGTTGGCTCAAGCGTAATTACCTATTTTTTGAAGAAGTGACTCTGGATTCTTCTACAGACACATTTTTGGGGTAAAAACCTTTCCTATAATGAAATGAAGTTTAGAACTAGGCTTTTAAATGGTGCCAATATTGGTGGGAAGTGGGGATACATACGTTTGAAAGTGCTTGTCGCGGGAGGGTCGATTTTTCTGATGACCAGTGTATTACATTTGTATGCTAAGTTTATTCATGATTTTCTTATTAGAAGGTGAAAGGTCACTGTTTGAACTGTTTAAAATTAAAAGTCCCTGTAAATAACATCTTAGATTTTACCAGATTTTAGAACCTTTTTAGTTCTCAGATTTTAGAACCTTTTTATAATAACCATGTAAATAAATTCTTTCTAAATGTAAGGTATGTATCTGAGGTTGTATTTGCAGGGAGTAATCATCATTCACGTACAAATATCTCTCTATCGCAATATTATACACGTGGGCTCTAAGTAGGCGCAGGTCGTATTTTAAAATGATTGATTGATAAATCTAGGCAATGTTACCTACTTTGAGTAGAGTGAAATAAGATGAATGTGATTTTCTTCTGATCGCAAAAAGATTTTTTTACTAAAGTAGCACGTATACATGCTTATAAAACAATTATGTTTATGTCATTGAATTTTGCATCATTTCCCGCTTATAAAACGTGGATGAGTCTTATGAGATTAGAAATGTAGCAATTTCCCTTATTACACACTTCAGGAACGGATTATTTTCACACTTCAGGAGCGCTATAATACCATTTACACTCTGTTATACAGAAAAGCACTAATAGTCCAGTCAATAAAGCATTATAGATGGAAATCCATAGAACACAATTTTTGACTTCGGGACTTTATTTAGACTAGTCAGGAGGTGAACATAGCAAAAGNTATTTTATGACGTGACAGGATATACATCTGGGGGCGTAGTATGAGTTTACATCAAACGCATTCGATATACATTAAAAAAATATGTACCTATATGAAGATTTTAGTTCTTGAAAGTTTCCGTTAAGGGCACTGTACATTTAATGTCACTTTTTTACGCAGTCGTTATCGAATGGGTTTAAGTAAACTCACACTGCGCCCCTGCGCACATCGCTGAAGTTTGACGTCACAAAAACCTCCCATTCCGCTCCCATATCTCCCATAAGTCAGTTAATCGCTAGACCTGTTAGTTCATTAAATAGATCAACTCCCTTTAAGCCCTATTATAGTTCTTTACTTGTGTGTGTACGTGTACATGTACACAACGATAGTGTAATGTTTATAAAAACTTTTGAAAAACGAACAGTAGCGAGCCACCACACATGTAAAGCTTTCTCGCCTTCAGGTTAGGCCAAACCAACTCGATCACACGCGATCAGCCAGCGTGCAGCGATGGCGACCAGACTAAAATACATTGATCGCCATCGCTGCACGGCGGCTGATCGCTTGTTTTGACTGAACCTGAAGCCGGTTTGACTGAACCTTTCGTGAATTGCAGCAACTATACCTTCTAATTGACTTGTACTCGCCTCAGCCGCAAGCCGTCGCAGCCCCGGCGATGAGCTGGGGCGCGCACGCGCAGTCGGTGACGTCACCCGAGCAGCCGCAGCAACAGCAGCAACAACAACAGCAGCAGCAGCAGCCGCAGCAACCACCACAGGTATAGATTAGGCATGGAACATTTCATGAATAGCAGGTGAAAAATCATATGAAATGAATTTCATTAATCACACCTGCTATTTTACTTCACATAGACTGCTATAATTTCACAGTCAACGAAATCACGAATCACGTGAATTTCATTAATTCATTCGAGCGAAGTTCGTGAGCGCAGCTCTGCGAAGCGACCGAGCGAGTAAGAAGGAATGATTTGATCATGTGCGTGTTAGAAAAGGACAAGACATGTGATGACGGACGAAACTAGTCATTTTAAATATGAACTTTAAACTCAAAGGTGTAAGGTTTAGATTTCCTTGTCATGATTCGTGTGATTTCATTATACAGTGTGAGTCACGTTAAAGTGTACATATGAAAATAGATGAAACTAGACCTATTTTTATCGACAAAAAAGAGGTCAAAAATTTTTTTAGATTTTTTTTTAAATTTTTTATAGATTTTTTTTTCTTCCAATTACTTATTGTAAAGAAAACGTAATAACTTTTAAACTAAGCTGTATATCCTGATAAAATAAAAACAGTAATAATGCAAAATAACAGGCAATACTAAAAAAATACATAAAATACATAAAAAAGGCCAACAAATAATAAAACATTATACTTTTTGAAAAAAATCTGCTTTTAAATTCGTGTTTTTTTGGTTATTTGATAAATTTCTCAAAAAAATGCCCCTATAACCGGTGGTTTTTATTACTTTGTATTATTCTCTATCGTATTAACTTCGTAAAACCAAAAATCGCATGTCTCTATCCCTATCACAACGTTTGCAATGATCGTTTGAACTAAGCCTCTCCGGGCGCGCCATTCAACGCTTCGTTAACAACGAAATTGAAAATGGCTCTAAATTTGTTATTTTGATAAAGACAAGTTAGATTTCAAATAAAAACAAAAAGATTTCGAAGTAAAATAAGCATTTTAGTTAAAATTAAAATTGTCTCTAACTGTAGCGGAGAATAATGTTGTGGCAGGCCTTTGTTCAAACGATCATAGCAAATGTTGTGATAGGGATAGAGACATGCGATTTTTGGTTTTACAAAGATAATACGATAGAAAATAATACAAAGTAATAAAAACTACCTGTTATAGGGGCATTTTTTGGAGAAATTTATCAAATAACCAAAAAAACACGAATTTTAAAGCTGATTTTTTTCAAAAAGTATCATTTTTTATTATTTGTTGGCCTTTTTTGTGTATTTTATGTATTTTTTTAGTATTGCCTGTTATTTAGCATTATTACTGTTTTTATTTTATCAGGATATACCGCTTAGTTTAAAAGTTATTACGTTTTCTTTACAATAAGTAATTGGAAGAAAAAAAATTCTATAAAAAATTTAAAAAAAATCTCAAAAATTTTTTGACCTCTTTTTTGTCGATAAAAATAGGTCTAGTTTCATCTATTTTCATATGTACACTTTAACGTGACTCACACTGTATAGCAGGCAGATGAAATGAATGATTTTCATTAGTCGCGCGGTTATTAATGTGCTGTGAAACTGTTTGTTTTTTGTTGTGCGACATAAATGAAACAGATTTGTTACATTTCATATTTTAGCTAATTATTAGCAATCCTTCATCATAATTCATACTTCATTAAAAGTAGCATATTATATGAAAGAGCTACATTAAAACACTGCGAATAAAAATCATTGCCTATGAAATTTCGCATGTGAAATCATATGAAAAAAAAACATCATTTCATACAATGAAAATGAATGAAAAATAGCAATCATTTCCATGCCTAGTATAGATCGTTTCATCCACGAAGACGCGCCCCACCATTCTGCCGCTAATGTTTGATTGTTATCATCGGTACACGCTAAACTATCCATGAGTGCACACGCACACTACAGTGATGACGCTCGGATTGCTCGGATCGAACTCCCCGCACCCCGCGCTTTACTCGACCAAAAATTGGTGGGACGCGTCTTCGTGGATGAAACGATCTATAAACATCTTATTGTCCCATCAATTCAGCTGCAATGGCAGGAATGATTCTAATGCTGAGTTGCACCACCATCTTAATTTAACTTTGACAAACGTCAAAAATATGTCAAACTCCATACCAAAAAAGCACCGACTTAACTTACACTCGGGACAAACTTGACCCTCTCTGTTTTTATTGGCGGTCAAGCTACACAGGAAATGCAGCGGTGAGAAAGAGAGGTGAATAGTCCTGTAATACGATACTCGGCCGTCACGTCACGAGAAAAAAGTCACTTATCCTCGTCTAACGGACTCACGTCCCGCAATACTGCGTACGCGCATGTTATTGTTTCGGTTAAAATAAGGTGGTGCAACTAAGCCTAAGCCTCTTCTAACTCCTGGAACACACACGTCGCGATGACATTTGGGCGATAACGTTTGAACTTTGACATGACAGCGCTGCAGCGGAGCGAAGTCCTTTACGCGAATACTTGGCTACACATCAATATAGCGCGAATCTTCGGGTTATCGCGATGTGTGTGACCTATGAGTAAATACCACCACATAGAACGGTCTGATCTCCCGCATCATCCAGCCACTGTCATTGATAACTCCTTTACTTGGTTCTGCACCTTTTCATTGGTTCTACAACTGCCATGTTAAAAACGTATTTCTTTTGCAGCCCGCCGCCGCGCCTGCGTACTACAAGGCTAAGGAGTACAATCCCGAGACCGCCGTCAACCCACTCGTCAAGCCGATTGGAGCCAGTAAGTTCACCTTTAATAACATTATTTGTCACATACTTTTTAAAACCTGCTGAAACGGGTATACACGTCATCGTCGCGAACTCTTTCCTTAGTTGCGCTTACTAGGCTCTATTACCTCATTGGCTTGTCATGAAGAATGTTATCAATGTACTTAGGTAGGTAACTACTCGGTCATCGACGACATCGTAAAGGTAGCAAGGAAGCGCTGGACGCAGGCCGCTACTAATCGATCAACGTGGAAAGCATTAGGGGAGGCCTATGTTCATCAGTGGACGTCCTATGGCTGAAATGATGAGGTAACTACTCTTCTGTCCCAAGTCACACACACACTACACGATAGAAGAGCGAGGCATTGCCAGAAATCTTGTAATTACTTTCTGGGAGGCCCCAGCAACTTATCATAAAAGATTTACTGAAATAAACACCTTTTCTTCTCTCCCAGACCCAATGCAGCTGGCCTGCTGGTACGTGGCGTACCCGATCCACTGGTCGTGCCGGCACACCATGCCCGACTGCCGCGGCCGCTGGTACCCCGTCACCTTCATCGTCTCCATGCTGTGGATCTCCTTCTACTCCTACTTTATGGTGTGGATGATCACCATCATCGGTGAGTGCAACACGAAATACACAACAGATTTTTTTTATTTTTTTATTGTCAAACTTCATGAGATGCTTCAATGTAGGTATACCTTGACGTACACTTGTACAGTCTTCTGTACACAAGTGTAATCACCTTCATGGTTCTCCTGTAGGTAGGTACATAACAGGTTGGCATGGTTTCTCAATAAGGATATTTTCGATAGACTCATTTGTTGACTACCTACGAACCATCTTCAATACAATCTTCTTAAAAAGATTAGTTACCAACCAAAAAACAAGGAGACTTTTAGCACCAAATGATCACACTGTAAACGAAGGTTATTCATACATAACACTTAAGTAAATGTAGAGAGTTGTAACGGAAAAATGGCTAAAGGACTCAACAAGACCACAACGTCAAGAGGCCGTTATGTTGTCGATACCTAACTACTTAGCCCCTACTTATAGCAAGGATGAGAAAGATTCAAGAATTTAGGATGTGGTGAATTGATAGCGATATAAAACCTGGGCAGCCCTTGTTATTTTGTAACATAAGTTACATAACATTAGTCCTTATTGTCTTTAACTGGATTCGTTCTTTGCCCAGGCTACACGCTGGGCATCCCGGACACGGTGATGGGGCTGACGTTCGTGGCGGCCGGCGTGTCCGTGCCCGACGCGCTCTCCTCGCTCGCCGTCATCAAGGAGGGGTAACTTTATCAATTATTCATAACTTTATTCATTCTACATAACTTCCTTAGAGCCAAAGCACTTAGCACACGTCGCGGAGCGATGTCGCGGTATCGTCTGATTGCAATATCTGTGACGGACAACAATAAGACGAAATCTTTACCCTCTCTCTGATCTTTTATGCCATTGCAGGGCGTCACATTGTATATCTCTATTTGTAACACCACTATAAATAGTAATGTGACTAGCAAAAAACGTTTTGAATTTGAAAATTTGAATTTACGGTGCGCAACCGCTACGCATCGTGTGCTTTGGCTGCGTATAGTATGCGCAAACGTAGGCAATAAAATTGTGTAAGTGGTATTAGGACACCAGTGAATATTTTATTTTCATTTAGGTATCTAATCACTTTTTCTGTCCAGTTGGTGATTTGCCACCATAGAACATGTCGGTTTTGATGAAGTGCCGTGTCGGTAACAAAGTGTCTTAAGTTTGTGCAGCCCCTTATTTATGACAATCTTATGTTTCTATGTGTCTTTACACCGATTTATTACACAACCAACAGCGCTCAAAATTTGATTCATCATTAAGATTCTTTCCTATAATATTGTTCTTAATATTGAAATTCAACCAGTTAAAAGCCTCAAATCGATGGTTAAAGTAGAATCGAATTTTGAACTTATTAAAATACTGAACGACCCTGCTGAAAGTTTTCATTTTGTGTAACACGACTAAATTCACCACTTCAATTTAGGTATGGCGACATGGCGGTGTCTAACGCAGTTGGATCCAACGTGTTCGACATCCTGGTGTGCCTGGGGCTGCCGTGGTTCATCCAGACCGCCATCATCCAGCCCGGCAGCCACGTCAACGTCATCAGCAAGGGTATGTCAACAGGATATCTGGCGAAACATTCTTCTTACTAAATTTCCCTTTCGGACTGCACTCACTGGACGTCTTTGGCTCTGGATCCATGGGAGAGACGTTAAAACAACAGTCTTAAAACTATTTATTGACTTCAGGTCACCAATTAATGTCTACCCTCACCAAAAGAGACAAAAGAACTTGAATTTTTAACGTTATCACGTGTTCCCACCGTAATGAGTCATTCCATACCACGAAAACATTACTCCTCTAAGAAATACATTTAATTTTGCTTCCCGAAATGACTAAAACGGCAAAAACGCTTGTTGGGCAACTTTAACACTGAAATAGTGTTACCTGGCCACTAGCCAGTGTCCACTTCGGTGGACAGACGATCGTGAAGGTCGAACGTACCAGTAGCTATATCTACTTTTGAGCCAGGGGGGAGGAGGGCAGTCTGGTCAGTTTTTTAGACAAGATTCTCCTCTTTGACATGCACTAGAACGAAACAAGGTGTATGTAGGACCCTCCTATTTCTCTAGAGAAACAGCTACCCTCCCCGTCTCTCCAACCCTCAATAAGTACAGCCATAGTTACAAAATTCTTCTATTCCCCCAGGTCTCATCTACTCCACCCTGTCCCTATTCTCCACGGTGGTGTTCCTGGTGGTAGCCACCCACGCCAACGGCTGGAAGCTGGACCGCAAGTACGGCGCCGTGCTGATGGTGTGGTACTTACTCTTCATCACCCTGGCCAGTCTGTACGAGCTGAACGTCTTCGGAATGTTCAACCCGCCCGACTGCATCTCTAGCTACTAAATAGTTTACTCGGTAGCGGTTGTTTTTTGACCTTTGATAAGTGACAAGTTTGAAACCATCTAAAGCTTGGTTTCCACGAAGGTGTAAGAAATGTTTTGAATAACAAATCAGATTTCATTATTCAGGAAACCAGGAAATCTGATTGGTTATTCAAAACTCTTCTCCGCTCCGCTCCACGTTGCGTTGGTGAAAACCCGGCCTAGTCCTCCATAACAACAATGTTACAAAAGCTAATCTTACCTCCAAGTGGAGGTAAAATAGCCAGTTCCTTTCTAGTTAAGGATTCCGGGTGAAGCTCGCTTCCACCTTCGGTCTGATTGTCACTTTCTATCAGGCCAAGAGCTTCCTCGTTGTGGACAAAAAGAAACTAAGAACAATGAATCTCAAACGCGGCATTTATGTAGTTACATGAACTTACTTATTTACAACTCGAACGAGCTAACTACGCACCTCGCATACGAGTGTCCCTCCCACTTACCCGCACACCCGCGTTCGCCCCGTGTCCGTACCATAGCCAGGCCTGGCTCACTCCGCGCGGTTCATCCGATAATTACCTACAGCGAAGCGCCCCGCGGCGGGTATTATATCAGTCGAGTGTCACGCGCGCGCCCGTCAGGACGCTGGCGTGCGTTGTAGTACCTAATTCTATGATCGAAGTATTATTTAAAAATGGACATAAAGAGAAAGAAATATTATTGTGCGGCGTTCGGGTGTTTAAATTCGAAAAGAAATCTACCGGATTTATTTATTTTTCGCTTCCCAAAGATGCTGAAAGATATGTTGACCATGTAGGTAATCAATAATTCTTAGGATAGTATAGGAACCTAACCTACCATGACTATTGCTCAGAATGCGTTCGTTCGTTTCAGCCAAAATAAATGACGTCCACTGCTGGACAAAGGCCTCTCCCAAGGTTTTCCATAATGAATGCGTACTTACCTACATACGTACCTCATTACAAATAAGTAGATTAATTATTTTTTTACTAGACACTACTAGACAGCAACCCTAACAGCGTAAGAAGAGTTCAGAGGCACGCGATAGAAAGAGACAAAACTTGTAGGTGAATAAAATTGTAGGTACGTAGTGCTGTGCGAGCTGAATTCCACTGTATCGCGTCGTAGCAAGACTCGCATTTATTTAAATCGTCTTGCGGAGTAATCCTTCTGTACCTGTACTATTACCTACTTATTCTGTGCCATAGCGTCGTCACGTCACATGACGTCACGGCCGCCAGGTTGGCAGTTAATTAGATAGGGTTCGCTCTTTATCAGTTAGTAACTAACGAGTTTCAGACTTGTCACGCTTATAAAATGGCCCAGTTATTTGATTTTCAATTCGGATATACAGTATGAATGTCGGAATAGTGAGATTTATTTTAACGAATGAATTTAGAATCGAACTATTTTGTGAATTATTTTTAGTGACGTTCGTTTTCAATTTTCGTTCCTATTTTGTGTACATTCCACGTAATTTTGGGATATGATTCCGAAGTTCGAAATTTTTAAGGGAGCATTTTGAAATGATACACCTATAAACTGTAAATTATAATGTTTAAAATTTATTTTCCTAGAGTCAACGAAATTAATTTTACTAGATAAATGAATATAGACGCCTATGTAATATGATATTAAATTAAATTTATTTATTTGAGTAGAATTTAAATATATTTTACATAGATGTTGTTTTAGTTTTAGGTGCTTTTAGTTAAATTAAGGGAATTTTATTTGATAAGGAAGATAGGTTTAACCATTCATACATTTTACAGCTTTAAAATTGTTAGCTTTTAATGTTTTCGGGTCTTAGTTAACGTATAAATATTTTGTGTGCTTTAGGAACAAATGCTTAGCTAGATATATTATCATTTATGATATTTTTTATCGGCCTATTGGTATTCAACATCCTAAAACTATTGCTATAAAACAAAATACGCTACTTTCTGTCCTAGACGAATAAATATTTGTCGCTGTCTTATGACTAAGCAAGCATCGATGTTAGACACTGTAATATTTTACTAAGTGTACCTACTTTATAACAATAATATATTTATCAGATGTAATGCTGACATATTTTAGTTTTGAGCTCAAGCTGTAGATGAGAAAATGTTACGTCGAAAACCGGCCAAATCAAAATACACTCGCGAGCAAAAGTATGGAATCACCCTATTTATTCTGAGATATCGTAAGTAAGAACTTAGTGAGTACTTAATAAAAGATAAATAAAAATAGTACCATTTTAAAGGTAAGATTGTAAACTTTAAATTCAAAGAAAGAAAAAATGTTTATTCAGTATCATCGACAATACACTTACAATACTTAACATTATTTAATGAGTAGGTAATTACAATGATACTGAAAAGGTATCCACTCAGCACGGTGTCGTAGCATCTCAGTAGATAATGCCACGACACTGGTCTTCCAAATTGATGCCATAGATATACAGGGTGTTAGGTAAATGGGTATATGAGCCGACACTAGCCCATGTTAACATGGGCATATTAATGGTATGGTGAAGTCAGAAATTTGATATCATCATTTTATTTTTTTTATTTTCATACAAAATAAATTTTATGAAATACGATTTGTATGAAAAATAAAATAATTAAAATGAAGATATCAATTTTCTGACTTCATACCATTTATATGAACATGTTAACATGGGCTAGTGTCGGCTCATATACCCATTTACCTAACACCCTGTATAGTTCAGTTCTTAAGATCACTCGGAACAAATCACAACGGGGTGATTCCATATTTTTGCTCGTAAGTAGCTATAGTTATAATGTAACTCATCATTTTTACTATAACATGTATTGTTATAACATCCGGTTCAGTTATTAGAAAAGCTAGAATCGTCATATTTGAAAATAAACAGTTACTAAACTAAGACAAACATTGTTTCAATATAGCCTGGGTATAGTGTTCCTGAAAAATATCGAATCTACAATAAAATTCTTCAATGTAGATAATATTATATCAACGCTGTAAAATGTCTTATAACTTAGAATGTGGTAAAAAAATGTGCTATGTTGTAGGTAGGTTTTTGGCGATCTCAATCTATGTTAATAAATTATGTAACTATAAAAATTGTATTTATCAGCTTTGGCATGCGAACATATTATTATCCTATTTGACGAAAGAATTAAATTGCAGAAATCTAACTAAATTGAGAGCACAACAAGTAATTTTAGTTACTAAACTTTGACCCAGCTAACTTTGAGTGGAACACTGATTTTTTTCTCGCACAAATGCTTGAAGTTTTGTAAACACAGTTGACAGAAATTTAATGTGCTCTACATTGACTATTAACTATTCTTATGAATATTTCTATAGTTTTAAAGTAGTCTCACCAAATTGTGTACATAATGGTCAATATTTCATTTGTTTATAGTTTATGCTAGACAGCACTAGCTTTAGATCTGTATTAATGTCACGTTAATGTTCTCTACTCCCACCTAGTTTATTGTTATTAATTTTTGTATCATTTTGGGCCTGCTTATTCCTAGGTTTGAACACAGGACATCGAGAAATTACGAATTAAAAGACATTAACATTTTAGACTCCCCGCACACAGCAGACTTTTTAGTCGGTCGATAGTTGAACCCGATTCTAATTTGTATGAAGAATCGGCCGATACCAATTCGGTGTAATTGTGCGCACTTTCATAGATGTTCATAATGATTAACAGTAGGTATCGGTCAACTATCGGCCGAAAAAATGTCTGTAGTCTGCGGCTAGGCTTAAATAGATACTTTTCTATAAATTATATCCCTAAATTTTTATGAATAATAGTGAGATATTGTAAAAAAACATTATTTAGTTAGATAAAATACCAATGCTTATTCGTAGTTATTTTTAACAGATCTTCCAAAATATATTCATATAACAGCTATACAAAATTGACTGAAATATTTTAAGTTTTCCCAAAAATATACCTCGATATTTTAACTACTAAAACCTTCTTCCAATTCAATTATATTATTAAGTTTTATATTTTCTGAGCCCATTCCAATTCTGTGATCTGTTTAGCTATTAATATTAAAATAGATTAAATTTCTTAATGTCATGTCTAATGTTAAGGGCATCAAGTAATTAAAATGTTATTTAAAATGAAAATTCTTTATCTTACCGTTTGATAAATTACTTAGCGTTCATTAATAAGCTGTTTGTGTGATGCTGCCTGATAAAAAAACCCCTTAGATAAATTACCCTGGTCATATTATGTATAAAATCATACATACATGAATTACATTGCTATAGTTACATTTCAACTCAAATATTAAACCAGTATGTGAAATCGGCATGTGCACAAATAATATCAAAATTCCAATATAGTAAAATATTAGTATGAAATTATACCTTCAACAACAAAATGGATATAGTGCATTAGTGTCCATTCCATTCAATCTTTTGAAAATTAAATCTAACTGCACTATGTGTTAGGTATACGTTCTCGGATTCAGAGCAAATAAAAAAAAATATCGCTTTCTTTTTATCATTGTTACAAGTTTATAGGACACAGTGAGAAAATACCTACTTTGTTAATATTTATATTGTTATGTTTATTCATTTGTTTTATTCAAATCAAATGTATGTAGAATGTATGAGTCTTGCGTTGTTTATGACAATAATAGACGTTGTGTTGAATGTAGAACAACATCATTACTATTTAGATATTAACCCCCAGTATTTCTCAAGTAATCTTGTTTGGTGTTACACATTTTAATAAATATTATTCAAACTGTTGTTACACGTTAAAATTATAACTAATAAAAATAAATTGCATCAATTAATAATGTCAATTTGATGTTGAATTCAATTATTTATATTAAGAGTGTAGTTATAAGAATTAAAATTTTCACATACGTGAGCACAGTTTATGGTCATTTTAAACATAAAAATGTTTAAACGGATCAGGGAATAATACATAAGCTTCAGTTTTTTTTTAATTTAAAATCAAAACAATGCTCTTCGTTTTTATATTAAAACCCATAAAATAATGGCAACACAGGATGTTAAAAAAAGATTGCACATAAATGAAACAAAACGTAATTACATGGCAACACCTACACATTAAAAACCCACTCATATAGTGTAAAATGGAACTATAGTTTTGTACTCTTAGTTAGTGGTGTATTTTGTACTAATGCTTCGTTTAGCGCATAGAACATTAGTCATTTGTACCTACTATGTAACCTCGTAGCGGTATAGCCTGTTAATCTTTCTCATTATAAGGCCTTGTCCAGACGGGCGAATTCGTCGCGAATCCTACGCAAATACACGCGACAATATTGCGTCCACAAGACACGCGAGTTGTAAATTCGCGCGTAAATCGCGTCATACATACGCTCGTGTCCGCGCGAAGACAATCGCGGCGAATTCGCCCTCCTGGACAAGGCCTAACTTCGTGCATGTAAAATTGGTTTCGGTGTAAAGTTCGGGCAACTATGTAAAGATCATTTGTTAAATTTTATACTTGTTATTAGATATCCTCGAGTACCTATAATGTGTTATTCTACGCAGTATTATCGTGTAACTGTTGGCGCTCGATGTTTTACTTCATACGTTAGTGTTAGGCGTTCCTCGCGCGCCGCGCGACCAGTGAATATTGTTAATTACTGTAAGTTATACGACAATGATGTTGAATAAAGTGTAAAAATGTCAAAATTGTTTCATTGAATAAAACCAAATAAAATAAAAAATAAAATAAAACCACAGTTAATCGTTTATTATTATTTATTAATAATTAAAGGTGCATTACATCGAGTATGCTCTCTCAAGTGGAGACAAAACAACGGTTGTCTAATTTATTTAACGATTCGTGGAAAGAAATTATAATTAGTCACCTTAAATCGCATGTTTGTAGAAAAGAGGAATATTGAGATCCATATTATCACAATGAGATAAATACGATAGTCATTGTGTTGTCGTTACAATGTCGTTAAGTTTAAAGTCTATATATTTTGTCTCCATTTGATACATCCGCGCTCGCAATCATACAAGATCTCTGTTACATTATCTTAGAGTAGGGGCCCCGCGAGCCTGGTCTTTGAGTCGCCTACGGTCGTCTTCATATAAAAATATCACCTTCAGGTGAGCGGCTATCAACGGATTCTACGGTATACGCGTCGCGGGACCCCGCTTACAGACCGAACGAAATATTAGCGTGTTCTTAAAAAAATAACAGTTAAAATGAACACTGTCTCAATATTTACAATTATGTTTACTTTGTTTTAAAATACACGATACATAATATGTACCGACCTCCGTCGGGGAGCGGCGCTCGCGGCTATATCTTTTATGTACAATTTTATATTAATTACCTTATTTTATAACCGAATCGAAACCAAAATTAATACCTATAGCTATTGGGGACGCGCGCGGCGCTCTCCGCCGGAGCGGGAATCAGATTTACTTAACTAGATATTTTTTTAGATTTTTACATATTTTTTTCTCTTTTTATTACAGAAAAACCTACTTACATTAGTAATCAGTAAATTTTTAATGAACGATATTAGCCAATATTGTTTTACACCGCGTCGAGTTCCTGACTAAAGTATTTCAGCCATTCACGGGCGTACATACACTATATTATATACAGTAATCGTTGAAATACTCAGGACATTACGATTAATCAATAAATTGAATGTAAACACTAGCTAATTAGGAAAACTAACATCAAACTAATTAATTATCGAGAGTAACATTAAACTACAAACCGAACATGTCACAGAGTTAAATATTTGTTACAATGGATTTATTTTCATAAAAAATGCAAGTCGAACGATAATGGACCCTAATTCATTCATTACAAAATGAACATATAAAGTATAATACAATCAAATCAAAGTAAGATCGATTCACAACTCTAACAATAAAAGTTAGTCACCGTGTTTCGGCCGACACTTTTCACTATCGACGATATAACTAAAAAAGGCCTCTGTAATAGAAAAAAAGCTAGTTCGCACTCGACGCACTGACGCAGCTGGCCCCGGCACACACAGTAGCGGCGTAAGCGGCGGTCCGCCCCGGGTGCCGAGCATCAGGGGCGACACAAGTCGCGCAGATTAGTACTCACTGGCGCATCTGCATGGCAAGTCTACGGTCTATGTCATGATACGGGGGGGGTGCGATTGTCTTTCAATCTTCGAATCGGTAGGTAAAACCCCAAAATCTTGGGGGGTACCAGGGGGTGCCTTNGGCAAGTCTACGGTCTATGTCATGATACGGGGGGGGTGCGATTGTCTTTCAATCTTCGAATCGGTAGGTAAAACCCCAAAATCTTGGGGGGTACCAGGGGGTGCCTTAGGACTTATGACAGGGGGGAGGGGGGTGATCGCCCCGGGTGCCAACCCATGCTACGCCGCCACTGCACACACACACACACACACACACGCCGCTATCGCGCTCGCTTCTTCGCCGGAGCACCGCTTGCTGCCGAACGTCGTAATCTCTTTCACTGGAAAGAGAAAAAACAAAATTAATACAAGTACGAAAGGGTTAAGTCACTAAATCTACGATTATTTACTGGTCGGGGCTCGGAAACCGCTGAATTGTTAAAGTAACCTCGATTGAAAATGCTATCATTTTACCGCACATCAGTAAGCACCACTGTAGAGTAAGGTCACTGTCACTTGCTAGTGGCGCCAACTGGTGAGCATCCCATTGAAAAACAGTTCTAAATCCGTTTTCACAAGGGTCATTTTGATAGAACGATTACTCGATAGGATTGCAACTCAGTGTTTCGTTGTCGTTGAAGTTTTGTTACGTGAATAAGGCTACAGGATGGCGCCACTGTAGAGTAATGTCAATCCCCAGTAGTGCCAACTGTTATGTAAAAAACTGTAGCCCTCATTCTAATAAATCTAAGACTAGACGCACACCACTGATTTTTAGTTGGCCGATAGTTGTGCCCGATTTTAAATTGTATGAAGAATTGGCCAAATCAAATTGGTGTAGTGTGCGCACTTCCATACATGCCCATACTGATCAACTGCCCGACTAAACTATCGGCCGAGGCAAAATCGATGGTCTGCGCCTAGGCTAACGATAACAATTCAACGTTTTCGAGCCCGCTACCGGTGACTGTGAATATGTCTTCTCATTATTACGTTACGATGGATGAAACAACAACCAAGTACCACTGTGTGTGTATACGTATCGAAACCACTCCACAACTGTTAATATTGACAAATGCTACAAACACCACTATGAAAATACAAGTACAACTTCAATACCGGTGATATTATATTAACCGTACATGTACTAAAATTGCTGGGTTTGACTATTTATTAAATTAACTACAAAAAAAGAAATTTATTTACCATATAACGCGCCGAGTATCGTGCGAGAATAAAATGAACATAATAACTATGTACTTGAAGGTTTTTATTTAATTTATACAAAATTCACATCGCCACATTATCACCTTATTGCAGCTTACCTCACAAAGTATCATTATTTTTAAGAGTTAACTACACTCATTTTTTAATTTATACAATTTTTTATTACACAGATATTAACAAATCACTATCCAAGTTGTTCCGATGTTAAAAAAATTGGCAATCTCATGCAAAATATCAAATAATATTTTGTATACAAAAATAAACTTGTACATCATTATCAATAAGATGCGTTTATACCCTTAATAAGTAGAAATTTACAGAATAAAATACACATCACTCACTCACACGTACACACACCACATACTACTATAAAAGTTCTACAAACGCTATAATTTATGGTAACACTACTATACACAGAGCGCGACAAGTATTGAAGTAATGTTACCTATAAAATGGTGATATTATCATGATACAGAAAATATGAAAACAGAAATTATCGTCACGGAATTTGACCGCATTCAAGGTCAGCGGATTAAAAATATTAAAATAACTAAAACATAATTATGACTAATGGTAAAAGCGAAAGTAAATTACGCTAATTTGACTCAGTTAAGCATTCCAAGAAATCTGCTATACAAAGAATAAAATATCATAACATTACAAATGGTCAGAATCATGTTTCGACCAGCTATTTGTTTTTTAATATAATCCGCCAACGCTCTGTGTATAAAGTTAAAATACCAATATTTTATCAACTATATTATCCTGCATAACTAACCGATAGCGTGTCAATCGGTAAACAAATCATCAGAGATCATCTTTGCACAAAAATTTTAACACTCAAATGTAGGCTTACATAATGTAGGTGTACCTATTTGTGCAAGACAGTGCCTAGCCAGCCTGTTATTATGTCCTGCACAACTCTAGCCAGAGAAACGTATTAAGCTAACTAAAATCCCCGTCGAAATGCACATCTACTTTTAGACATTTATCAATAGACAATGTCATATTATTATTAACATCCTTGTGTAGCTCAGTTTCTAACAATCGCATACTATCAGACTTGACAAGTTACTGTCACAACATGGCCAAAACCTGCAGGATTTTGGGGAACAGAAATGATAAGTACGTTTATTGGTCATAGATTTTTAGTTACCCAAAAATCCGCTAGACTAATCAGATCAAAAGCTTTTTCTAAAGATTGAATTAGTGACATTTGAAGCAATTTTAAATTAACACTTCAATTTGTGGTCCGTTTTATGAAAACGAATCCCAACTATAAATCATAACGAAAGATCGATGTGTATAGAACGGGGATATTCTAGAAATAAATAATAACAATACTTGGGCCATTTTTACACATGGACAAATCGCACACAACATTATTGTCACTTTTAACCCTCTATATCACCGAGTTTACTTTCAAAATCCACCACTATTCAAATAATCCATTCACCGTATTAGTGCAAATCAAATTATAACATTCAAATAAAATTGATGACTGACGTAACAAAGCTGATTGTTTTAGCACTGTCACCGAGTTATATGAATCTTAAAAACCAAAATCCGTGCAAATATGTCACGCACGATGAACAAATTAATAATGATGATGGCAAGATTTTTATTAGGTGATTTGTTACTCAAAAACTGTATTACGAAATAATTTTCGACTCGTGCATATGCGATCACACCATGATTGTGATTATAAGCTCAAGCTTTCATTTGACGCTTTTGATGTCTTCAGTACAGGACAAAATACATTTTTTATAAATAAATAATTTATTAAACCTGGCAACACTGACCATGGGAATTCTCCAAAGATTGTTTCGTTAATATCTGAACTAAGTTTCTTATAATTTATCTATGGCCAGGGCTTTCTTTGCCGCAACCATAGCCCTCAGTTTTCAAAACCAAGAGTTTTTTTTTTCGATTTCTTTAAACGAAAGTAACGCACAGAAAAATGGGCTAAACGATTTCAAGACTCCTAGATTTAGTAATAATGAAAGCTCCAGCATACAATCTCGCCTGCTTGGCGCATAGTGGGTTAGCGAGTGGTCGGTGGTGGTTAGGATATGGCGGTGTGCTTTTTCTTGAGTTGACTAACGGATTGGTGTCCTTTGACGGCCGGCTTGTTGGCCGCCGACTCGTTGGTCGCGTGCACCGACTTCACCTAAGACGGAGACTTGAGATGAGGACACACAGTTTGAGTTCAGTTTCTTACTTATTTTCTTATTTTAGTCAATAATTTCAAGCATAGCTAAACTAGAAATAACATAATGAGCTGATTTAGTTTTCTACACCTACATAGCTTATCAGAATGAAAAACTTATTAGGTAAATATAATAACAAAATATACATAACAATATTATGTAGCATTAATAATGTAAAAATCCTCGCACGCGTTGGACTTAACATGCGTTGTCGAATGGTATGGAATCCAGAAAATTCGTTGGTATAATATTATTCTATACCACAAGCCAAGTAGGAGAGTTTAGAGCAATTTGGCAATGACGTTAATTCATTACCGGAGACCTCACTCCTCTACCTATTTACACTGACTTCCATGGGTGACTCGTCTGGGCAATCTCATAGATAGAGTTTCGGACTACATCCGATCCGAATTTGCGAAAATACAATCCGGAGTAGTAGTTTTATTTCCGAAATGCGATTCCGATTCGATGCATTCAGTGTGCTTACCATGAGTTCACGTTAGGTGTGCTCGCTATCGAGTGTGTCAAAGAAATGTATGACGTTTTTAGTTCTTCAAAGTAGCCGATAGAGGCGCTGTACAATCATAGCGCAGTAGCTAGCGAGCACACCTAACTTAAACTCATGATAAGCACACAGATCAGATGTAGTGCGAAACCGCTTTTAGGGCAAGGCCTGTGCTCTGTTCTATAAGGAGACCGTATAAATCCTGTGACGATGATACCGTTTGCACCATCAATCCCTAACTTTTAAGTGACCCACATCATGTGGGTCACATGGCAACACATAACAGGAATTTTGTTTTCATATGGGTCACTTAAAAACTAGGGATTTATGGTGAAAACGGGCATGAGACTGTATGAGTACGCACCTCGTTGTTGGGCGGCGGCTGCGGCGGCTGCTGGGCGGCGCGCCGCTGGACGGACGGCGAGCGGCGGTCGGGCGGCGCGGCGCCGGCTTCCATGTGCTGCTTGCGCTGCCGCAGGATGGTCCAGTCGAACGTGTAGTCGTACTGGTAGTTCATCGTGCGGAACAGGATGCGGAACAGCTGCGGACGGAACAAAGAGAATTGAAAGCTTCTCTAACGGTTTTCTACAGACTACAGTTTGCGTAGGAATTATACGACCTAACTCCACCAGCCCCTTTCCACCGGGAAACCAGACGCAGATTAGCCTACCATACCTACATTGTCGACATTCCACCAGCTCGCACTAAGCGTTTCGATGACTCTTTTATAATGCGAACAGCTAGGGACTGGAATTCACAGCCTGCTTCTGTTTTTCCTGAATACTATTAATCCGGGCATTTTACACAGGGCAGATATGTACCATCCTGGACTGCATCTCAATTAACACCAGATGCGATTGCGGTCAAATGCATAAAAAACATAAAGCGCCTTGAAATTAGAGGCGTGACAAAGCGTTACGGTGAGGCCAGTACGCCATTGCGGGCACGCCACTACTAGTTTTCATACAATAGGCTAGTTTCCTAAAAAAAACGTAGTCCGTCAAAAAATATTGGACGCGTATGTTTTTATTTGTCAATCAAACAAGTAATTACGAAGTTATGATGCGTTGAAGTTCCACGTGACGTCACAAAGTGCTACACTTTTAAGCACTCCTTGACGTCACTGGCCTCTTTTTCTAAACTTAAGCGCACTTTATCTCTTTTAAATTTTCATTATTTTGAAAAAGATAACAATACGTGTCGAGTATTTTTTTTATAGTAACTGACTAATTCAAACTCTTGCTTTTTTACTCAGGAAACATCCCTATTGTAAAAAGCGCAGTTGCAGCGCCACTAAACGCCGCGTTTCTCACATCTCTAATTTGAAGGCGCCCTAAAAAGCTGCTAACATAGACACTTATACAGCCACACACCATCACAGAAAACTGAGGCGTTGTGTGGTGATCAAATGGAAACAACTGAACACAAAGTTTATGCAGAGTAGAGTGACTGTTTTGTACGTCACGTAAGAATCCACGCGTATCTTGATGATCAATAATTATCCTCAACAGAAACTAGTACAAGTGCACGAATCTTTTGAATGTCAAATAGAAAGTCTGATACAGATAATGTCAGACAGGATGATCAATTACCTGAATAGTAGTAAATAACACTAAATATTATATTTCACATTTTTTGCCTAAACTAAACGTTTCACATGACCTTGACCATTAATGACTTGATACACCAATTTTACGTTCAAAAATCGAAATCTATTAGATTAGTGATTCCTCTAACAGAATTGAAGTTTAACTTAACAAATAATAAAATCCAACTCACCTGTCTTAGGTACATGTAGTCAGGGGCTTCGTCGAAGGTTAGCCCGCGGCAGTAATTTAAATACATGGCAAACTCGGCCGGGAATCCCTGGAAACACCACGTTTATTACCAACTTTATTGTTTTAGGCCCGGTTTCCACCAAAGCTGTGCGGAGAAATATTTTGAACAACCAATCAGATTTCATTCTGTGAATTTCACTCAATCTGATTGGTTTTCCAAAACATTTCTCCATTCCGCCTTACTCAATGAGGGCTATCGTTTTAGCGCTCATCAGTTAGCGCCACTGTAAAGTATTTGACTATTGGTTATTTTAACTACGAATCAAAAAAACCGGGTCTTAGGCCCGGTTTTTTGATTCGTAGTTAAAATAACCAATAGTCAAATTTGACAGATGTCAAATGACAAGTGGTTAAATATCAGAAAAAAAATGTTTTTCGAACAATGGTTAGCTTGACTTTTAGTACATTTTTAAACTATTTATATATACATTTTGTTAATATTTAACCATTAGTAGCAAAATTTAACAATTTGTAATTTTAACTATGAATCAAAAAACTGGGCCTTAGGCCCAGTAAGGCCCGGTTTTTTGAATCGTAGTTAAAATAAGCAATGGTCAAATTTGACAGATGTCAAATGACAAGTGGTTAAATATCAGAAAAAAATGTTTTTCGAACAATGGTTAGCTTGACTTTTCGTACATTTTTTAACTATTAGTTAGCATTTTGTTAATATTTAACCATTAGTACCAAAAGGATGATGGGCACAAATGTATGGAAAGTGGTACCCGCTCCAATAGCCATAACCAATACAGGGTGACAGGTAAAGCGATACATTCCTTGAAAGGGGTCAAAGTAGAGCTTATTTGCAGTCATTTAAGACATATGACACCATGCCCGAAACTTGTTCATTTCCAAGTTATTCAAGATTTAAGTATTTTTTTAAAAATCTCCAGTTTTTATGTTAAAATGTACCCTTGTAATGAAGAATACGGAATAATGTTAACTTTTTTGTTGTATTCGTATAGCTAAATAATAAGATTGCTAGGTGTAACTTTTTATTAATAAGGGGGTAGTACTTCTTTAAATAAACATTTATTTCACAACTATCCCCATCAATAATTATAGAGTTAAGGAAGGATGCTGGAGCAGTAAACCCTTCCTGCCTCGCATAACCTAAGTACCATACGATGGACACGTATGATACTTCTTCTTCTTCTTCCTCGGTCCCTCACTGATGAGGATCGCGACCACAGATAGTGTTCCTCCACAGAATGCGGTCATAAGCTGTGTGGACCTCACGATGCAAACTCCCGCCCACCGTCTTCCTCACCGCGTCCGACCATCTCGTCGGTGCCCTGCCCCGAGCGCGTCTGCCTTCCATACTGTATGATACTTAGGTTACACAAAAAGTATCTTTATCATCGAACGCAACCAGATCTGAGGCTGGTGGCCATAGTAAATGTTGTTCGTCTCGGTAAGACCTTTCAAATGACACTACAAACATAACTATTGGAGCCGGGTACCATTCTGCAAAAAAGTATGTATATCTTCGTACACAACCAGATCTGGGGCTGGTGGTCATAGTAAAAGTTGTTCATCTTGGTAAGACCTTTCAAACGATACTAGACACATATCTATTGGAGCCGGGTACCATTTTGCCCATTGTCCTTTAACAATTTGCTATGAATCAAAAAACTGGGCCTAACAAAGACGTGTTGCGAACTTATTGGCTACTTTTTTAGATGATACAAATTATTTGACGCTGACTGAAAATATGAAATTGAGTTTCAAAAACAAATCTGTACTAGTAAATTGTCCTGATCTACGTAACGACGCTCCCTCATTTATAAATAGGTGTAATAAACAAGTTATGAGCCAAGGCGACTATCCGATGTGGGCAGCGCCTATCAATAAATACTGCGTCAGACATTCCTAACGTCTAGTTAGATATGAGGACAGTCCTATGCCACCGTTAAGACAACATAAAATCTAGAATCTAAAGTCTATTTCTAATTTTAGTTCAGATACGACAAACATTTGCCTGCATTTGTCTAAGGATATAAACCAGTGCCGGGTCTGACGCAGAATGTGCACTTCGCAAAATGCGAACTTTTCTACACAAATGTAAAGGCTGAAGAGTTTGTTTGTATAATATTAGTATGGAAAATTGCGCATTTCATTTTGCGAAGTGCACATTCAGCGTTAGGCCCCCAGTGCCGTGTCCACACCAGGATGTTAGGCTACCGATTCGAAGATAGCTTCACACAAATGGCATGGTCAGAAGAAAAGTCTTATGTATACTGCTGCTTGCTATGTTTGTCTTAAAACTGTTAGGGCCCAAAAGAAAAGGTGACCGTGGCAACCCTTTTTTGACTTTCATCAGTGCCATATCTTGGTCAAAATTGAATATAGAAAAGTCTAATAACGACTCTATTTCCATACTACTAAGGCGAATTACAGCGTGCCGACAATACTCACCTTACACAGCACCTCGACAGGTGTAGACATCTTTTTCTCGCTAATCCGCTCGTACTTCTGTTTCTTCGTGATGGCCTTCAACCCTTGCCACGGCAGCGATCCTCTGTCGGGACAAACAAATGGACAATGTTATTACACATTCACAATATACCTACTTATTACTCACCTGCAGTGGACGTCCTGTGAAATGGTGATGAATATTATATTCATCACCATTTAATAACTGACTATATTCAGAATATAGTCAGTTATTCTGTTATTATATACGTGCCAATGAGGGCTATCGTTTTTATACCTAAAAGTTGGCACCCCTGGCGATTGACAGGACCTTACTCTACAGTGGCGCCATCTTGATGAGTGCAAATGCGATAGTCCTCCTACCACTTTAGCGCTCACCAGCTGGCGCCACTGTCTTCGCGACTAGCAAGTGACAGGACCTTACTCTACAGTGGCGCCAACTGGTGAGCGCTAAAACGATAGCCCTCATTGATACGTTTGCTGTAAGGAAAGACTGCAGAAGCATTGGCAACTGCACAATAGTGCTATGGGAAAGGACTTCGCGGAAACGCACCCGACTGCACAACTAGTTAAGCGTGTCGGTATGTCCCATTATTATGACGTGGCGAACAAATACTGGTGGAAAACACACATGACTGACCACAGTAATGTAGCTTGGTATAGGCGACAGAACAGACTGTTACAGAGCATATTATATTACAGCAATATTGAGCGCTACATACAAAGTGCCGTTCTGACTGGTTGATCCATATTACAGTTTAAGATTTCTATCAAAATCCTTTGGCCTTCTGTCTAACTAAAGGGATAATAGCTTAATAACTATTATAAGTAAAATAAGGTCTACCTGGCAAACCGTGCTAAACATTGAGTCAAGAAAAAAGTAATGAGAAATGTAAAGGCTCATGGACTGTTGGACATGAATCTGCTGTTTGAAATTTCTAATTAGGTGACCTCGAAACTTTTGTTAATTCTAGGTCAAGCTGTGTTGACAATTTAACCAAAGCACTTTATTGTTGAACAACATCACAACACTACAATAAGGTTGAGCATCCCACTGCATCGTGTATATTGGTGTGCAAAATTATATTTACAGCGACAAAACTTACAAAACACAAATGCAGCCAGGTCAAGGACATCGTTATACCGTATTGTTTCATTTTATGCATAAATTATACTCACACAATACGTTTGGATCGCTTTTAACTGTAAATAGATAGCGATCCGAACGCTACTACACAATCAAGGTAGGATACGGTAAGTTAACTTTATAGTACGCACGTGAAGCATGCAGAAAGTCCATATAATATTAATATCTCTATCAGCCGGGCTAGGATGCGCGCCGTGATAAAATCTTATCGAAAATTTTAGACGACAAATGTATGGGCTTATCGTGTAAAATCGATAAAATGGCGTCATAAACGCTTATCGCGGCACGCATGCTAGGCCTACTGTAATATTCTTTAACAGAAAATACTCGACTCGAGAAAGAAACCTGTGAGTTTATGTTTAACATTCACATAATTTTGTATACGTGACTAATACCACGCGGTCTACTAGTAGATTGACCTACTGTGTATAACTACACTATGGCGCCGTTGGAAAGTGACTAATATGGGTGACTCAGAACGCGTTTCGACATGTCCTTGCACAACATCGTACCTGTGACTCCTAGCACGTTGTTGTGAGTTTGGAAAACTAAAAACCTGGTGCAATCCTTGGAAATGAGTCGTGCGGTACAATTTTTGGCTTGAAAGCAAGCTGGCTCAAGCAATACATTTTAGAGCATACCTGTCCAATAGTTGATTTATCAACTTATCAACTATTCACGTACGCCTATAGGATTGTGACGTCACTTGTCAATAGCCCACTCGATAGAAGAATGGATACCAACATAAGAATCGTCCACGTTTCTTGGATATCATCCCCATCCTTATCTTCTAGACACGTGAGTCGTAAATAGACATTATGCAGACCTCCAAAAGAAAGCATAAACCAAGGCGTAGACCACCGATTTTTAGTTGGCCGATAGTTGGGTCGGGCTGTTAATCAGTAAGGAGATGTATTAAAGTGCGCACATTACACCGATTTGTTATCGGCCGATTCTTCATAAAAATTACAATCGGGCGCAACTATCGGCCAACTAAAAGTCTGTGGTATGCGCTTAGGCTAACAGTCATTCACAATTGTAAGTTATTTAAGATTGTAAGAGTGGCAATAAACATCAATCCAAAAATCAATAATGATCATACTTTATGCGAATACCTGTAAATAGCAAGCAGCCAAGCAAAAATTAAACTTTTGTGCCTACAAATTATATTGTTGTTGTTGTTCTAATAGTGCGTCCACACTGGGCGAACGGGCTCACATGACACAAACTTTTGTGTAAGAATTTGGATTCCCATTCTATTGTATTTATATCTTTACTCGACACAATCTTTTCGATTATTTTGCTCTACATTAATCATTTAAACTCACATTTGTATCAAAAACGTCAGCAAGTGCGAACTCACCTATTAAAATACATAAGTACGTAGCCGAGTGACTCCATGTCGTCCCGCCGCGATTGCTCGATGCCGAGGTGCGCGTTGATTGATGCGTAACGCGCCGTGCCTGCGCAACAAATGATCGAACTCATTGTTATGGGAACTTGACCATCATTAGTTAAGTCTCTGCTGCAGAAGCACGACTTCTCCAATTTACCAGAGGCAAATGAAGGATCTGATCTACCTGGGAGATAAGCTTTTTGAGAGAGCTCATAAAATCAACTGGTTCGTTACAACATAATCAAATCAAAATGGAATTGAGCCCTATACTTGTTTAGTCCGTGTCAATATTGTGATCAAATCTTTCCGTGGATAATGTCACGGCTTTATCTGGCCGAAAAAAGAAAGCAATAATACTTTTTTTATTTTTTTATTTGTGGCAACCAAACCTCTCTGGGAGGTTTATTTCTGCCAATGTCGAGTGAAAAATATTGACATAGTTATCAATAGAACGTGGGTGTTTCAGTTCTATTGATTTTTCATGGATTCCTTGGAGTTAAGTATGCCCGTAAGCAGGTTTCGAGACGCCACCGGGTCAAATTCGAAGTATTTCAATGTTTTTTATAATTTATCACTTCACTGCACTTTAGAACACAAAATAACACCAAATTTGTACACTAAAGTCCATTAAATAATAAATTGAAACCATTAAAACAGATCGACCATGCTTCCCGTTCAACTACCCTCCACGGAATCCGCAATAATACTTGTTTATTTATTAGAAATGACGTAGCTCCTAACCTGCTTACCTACTACAGGGCCCATTGTTCACAGTAGGCCAACTGCAAAATGACGCCTTTGTAGAGAATAAGCCTATGATAACATATTCGCCAAGCACTAACCGGTCACATCCTTGTCCTCGCGGTATGAGATATGAACTCTTTGGCGAGCCCGAAGTCGATCACGTGAGCTTGTTGCAGTGGCGGCCGCTGCCGTCGGGAAGTGTGCCTTGTGCGCTGGCAATTAAGGTTCAACTTCACTCACCGGTCAGGTTCTTGTCATCGCGGTACGAGATATGTGAGCTTGTTGCAGTGGCGGCCGCTGCCGTCGGGAAGTGTGCCTTGTGCGCTCGGGATAAGGCTCAACTTCACTCACCGGTCAGGTTCTTGTCCTCGCGGTACGAGATGTGAACTTCTTGGCGAGCCCGAAGTCGATCATGTATGTATAGTCTGCTGTCGCGACTGTACGACGGGTGCCCGCAGTGAGTGTGCGAGCGCGACAGCAACATAATTACGCGCGAGCGATGAGGATGGGTAGCTTGGGGTCATTGGACAAAATTCTACGTGCTCACAGACCGGGCTTTAGAGCTTGTTGCAGTGGCGGCCGCTGCCGTCGGGAAGTGTGCCTTGTGCGCTGGCAATAAGGTTCAACTTCACTCACCGGTCAAGTTCTTGTCCTCGCGGTACGAAATATGCGCGCGCGTGCGCAAGTCGCGGAACTTCTTGGCGAGCCCGAAGTCGATCATGTAGAGCTTGTTGCAGTGGCGGCCGATTCCCATGAGGAAGTTGTCCGGCTTGATGTCCCGGTGGATGAAGCACTTGCAATGGATGAACTCCACGCGCCCGAGCATCTGGTCTGTGGGAGGATTTTGTTTTAGTTATCATCAATATACAGCAATGTAAACCATATTCTGTCTTAAGGTTCAAAATGAAAGTTTTTTTGAGTCCCTTTCTGTTGGCGTGCTTTATAAGGATCCTAGAACAAATATCGACATGATGAAGAAGAATCGAGTAATATTTGTATTAACAACAACAAGTACTACAAACATGGATTCTTATAATTACACAGCCAATAACGAATTGTAATAACTTGGATCGCCCAAAATGCTCTATAATATTATCGTCCTATGTACGACCGATAGTTAAAATTACACGTTAAAGCAACCTTCAATTTTAACAATGACTCAGTCTAACAGTTCTTCTAACTGAATGTTTCTATAAATGGACTTGAACTTCTAGTATTTATTTTTAAAATAGCTTATGAATGAATTTAATAATTATCATCACAATTAATAGTTTTCAAAATTCAATCAGAATCCTTAAAATATGTATGCTCGTCGTATTACAAGGAACCAGCCAGCATTGAAGATTCTAATTAACGTATAAAGAATAACAAAACCGATGATTCGCAATAATCGGTCATACGTCTAATGGCAATCAGATTGCGTGTTGCTCATGCTATTATAGACTTACTAATCACTCTAATTTGGCATCGATATTCGACCGACGATGCATTATCGCCGACCGATTAATATTGATGCAGCAAAATCATATTTATTTACTTTTTGTTATTGAAATGAAATAATGGCCGTTACATACATGCATTGAAATCTTTGTTCCCTTATGTAATTAAAGGTTTAAGGGTGGCGAGAGGTGAAAACCGGAGTGAAGATTCTTCCAAAGCCAAGATTCCCTTTGTTCTTTGGGTCGCTCTCTCTTTAAGTTTAAGACTCCCCGCAGACCACCGATTATTATTTGGCCGATAGTTGGGCCCGATTCTAATTTGTATGAAGAATCGGCCGATACCAAGTCAGTGCAATGTTAACAGCCCGACTAAACTACAAAATTTAGGCCGACAAAAAATATGTAGTCTGTAGTCTTAAAGACAGTGGAATGGTATGGATCGTTTCATCCACGAAGACGCTTCCCACCATTCTTCCGGTCCGAGCAATCGGATCAATCTACCCGCGCTTCCCTCGTGTGCCTCGACCAAAAATTGGTGGGGCGCGTCTACGTGGATGAAACGATCCATAAATCCCTAGACAGATGGAATAGTCACGTACCTGCAAGCATAAGCACAGTCTTGATCGTGAACTGGCGCGAGCAGAAGTTGAAGAGGTCCTCGAGTGATGGACCCAGCAGGTCCATCACGAGGATGTTGTGGTCCTTCTCGTAGCCGTACCATCTACAACAAAGAGTCACATCATTCATCGGTGTGGCCAAACCATTGAAACAATCCCTAATGCTTCAACCATACCAACGCGTGCAGGTCGCTATCACCATTGCGATCACAGCGCGATCATAGGCCAATGACAGGTCGCGCGGACTGTCATGGATTGCGCGCCCTGTCACTAGCCTATGATCGCGCCAGCGATGGCGATCTGCACGCGTTGGTGTGGTTGAAGCTTAAGTCAAAGTCGTCAGTCCTGTACTGGTCTAGAAATTCCTCCAATATGCCATGCCACCTGTCCACAGGTTACAAACGTGACAGCGTAACTATTCCTACCGCCTGCAACTTCTGTTTAGCAGGATCTATATTAAAAAGCCAACCAGTCAAGCCAATTTTACTTCGGGGGAAATTGATCAGAAGAACATTTTCGAAGTTAACAAAAACATGACAGTTGTAATTCTGAGATCGTTTCTCTACGGTTTGTATCTAGTTACTTCGTTCAGTTAACGTTTAATTTGCGATCTGAATCCGATATTACTCTATTTTATTCAGTTCTAAAGCTTTATTTCGCAGGCATTATAATTATTCGAAATCTACATTTTTATTAGCGTTCATTATGTTTAGTAAACATTTCTAACGCCAATCTGTGTCAAGTTATATAAGAAACTGTTTGTTTACACGACTACCAAAACCAAACAAGGTCAAGGAAAGGAAATTACCATAAATATTGGCACAGATTCATATTGAAACTGCTAGGTCAATTTCCGTGCACGTTAATTATGGATATTATTCTAATTCTTTATGCTTTCATTAAGGCTCGCAAATAAAAACTTCTAGCAATGCAATTCGTATAAATACGTACACAAATATGTGGTCTTTAATAAATCTTGCTTCCTTTGCTTGCTACTGCCTACTGGACATAGATTTGTCTGTAGTTTCTCAAGCTACCACTGCGTGGACTACTCTAAATTGTCACTGGAAGTGGACTTTGATCACCTAGGTGATCAAAGCCAGGTGATCAAATCGGAATAGACCGAATAGAGCATACTTAATTATAACTTTTGCATCAGTGAAATGCTTCCGACACGTCCAATGTTTATAGCAGAGCAATATTTTAAATTCTACTGCATTAACTGTAACTTTGCTGCACCTCTTTAGCGTAACAATTTAACCACGCGCAGTTTAGCGTTAGATTATGGCGTGATCGGCCCGAGCATCGCACGGCAACAGCGAACCAAACAAAAAAGGCATTAGCAACGCACTCCTTCAAACGCCGCGGGTTCGAACGCCCGGTGGACCATGGTAACGGTATTTGGTACATCAATATCACAGTCCCGACCAAAAACTCTTGTGTTTTGATGAACCTTTGATGAACCCTATTCATAAAACACATGAACATTGATTAAGCACTATTTTAGCTAATTAATGATTTGCCAAACATTTATATTTATTTTACTCTGTTCAATGGGCTTTCGACTCTATAAAATAATGGAGTATCCAGTTTTAAAGTTCTTAAGAAAGCTGGATAGCACGGTGAAGATCACACCTTTCAAGTTTTATAACATAATGGAAAATTACTGGAGTAGAGAACTAGAGACTGCAACCAGCGTGGGACGACTGCTTGCCCAATAGACGAACTAACTAACCAAGGCTACCACCGCAAGACCTTAAAATATTGAGAACGCCTAAAAGCATTGAGGCCTGTTTTACATTTAACGTCTGTAGGCTAAGTTGGTTGTGATACGAAGAACCTATGCGCAAAATCAAATAAGATATCGTGGTAATTTTTTTACCATTCCAATAAAGTAAACCACAATTGAGCAATAACCTGACCTATGCTCTTTGAAGCACCTGAACTTCGCGTTAAGCACTTCTAAAACATCAAAACCCCTTGTGATGTGCAAAAACAATCGTTAGTTACTAGTACATTTTTTATGTCCGATTGAAAGTGCTCAGAATCGGATCAAGGACGATACCACAACGACACCGTGTCACTCGACGAGTCACAGCGCAGATAAATCTGAATCCGACTGCATAAGCGATGAGGTGATATTTAAATGATATGTCCAATACCAGCCGGGCTGGGATACGCGCCATGATAAAACCACGACAAATGAATCTAAATGGGCCTACGACAATGTATGCGCTTATCGTGCAAAATCGATAAAATGTCTCAATAAAATTTAACATGGCGCGCATCCTAGGCCTACGGATGGTCTAGGATGCGCGCCGTGATATACTCTTATCGACGTCAAAATGTATGGGCAAAATCGATAAATTGCCGTGTGCCGTGATAACCGCTTATCCTTGCTACAGGTTACATTTAACAAGATACTTACATGATTATTCTAAGCCGAGTTTTGTCGAATTAAAACTTTTGCAAGTCAGTTCAATTTTACACGTTACAAACTTCTTTCTACTTTGCCTGTCACATGTATACAGGAAATCACAATTAGTCAAAAAGAAATACAACAATACAACGAAGAACACTACAACTGCTAGTAGTCGACCCATCCTGCCAGATTCTGATCCCGTTATGATGGAAAGCTACAACGATGGTGGTTTATAAGGGTTTTTTAACAAAAGGGAAAATATTTCTATTGTTAAACTTTTCTTTTCTCTTTAAAGGTTTCCCTGAAAACGTCTAAAAAAGCACCATTTGACATTTAAACATTTTCAACAACAAATATGAAAGTTTTACGCAACACCAAAATTTTCCTTTTTCTAAATGAGAAAGGGAGCAAGCATTTCGCGAGCTTCCTTTGCAATCACTTTTCAACAATGTTTGTCGGTCTTCTGTTCGCATTTGACGAAAATACGAAATGCTATAAATGTAACGTTTAGGGGAACCTTGTAATAGATGTTGTTAAGGCCACGTCAGTGCTTATTGTTTAATTAATTTTCAGCTCTAAATTACACCCCTTACGTAACGTGTACTAGAGTTAAACAATAAACTAGACAGAGGAACCCATGCTTGTCTCGTGGATCCCCTGTACTGTACTATTGAAGTGTCATGCTCATTCGCCTTGGGGGCTGTCTGTTTGTGAGGCAAAGAAATCCAGAGGTCACTGTCTTGGACACCCTTTCTCACTCCATGGACAATCTTTCCACATTAACCCCTAACAAATCAAAATTGACCTCTCAACCTCATAGACCACTCTGGCTATAATATCATTGAGGTAAACAAACTATCTGTGCCAATATCATTGCTCTTTTGAATTTGAAACAGTCGAGTCGCTTCAGAACTTCAGACAGCACATAGATGCAATTTTGCATCAAAAATATTATGTGTAGTCAAGTCATAATGGCGCGTAGATATCGATCGATGTATTGAAAGATGGTTGACAATGTATAAAGATTAAGAAATGAAATTAAGCAATTTCAACAAAATAACGAACAGCGGATGCATTGCCACATTTCCAACAAAATGACTGACACATTGAGGCTGCCACTTTAAATTCCATATTCTGAGGAAAGCTTGGCTGAATCCATAATGTCCTGTGACGGTGAGTGTGCGTCAGTCAACGCGAGTTGAATCTTATCATCATAATGCATTATGTGAGCGCACGTATAAATCAAGCGTCATTTTCACTACGCCGATTTGATCATTAGGTGTTAGTGCGTGTGTTATTAAGTTTATAGGTACAAACATTACAAATAGTATTTATGAAAGAATTTAACAGTTTATGTGTAAAGATAGATAATTCTTAAAGAAAAAGAAAGTCTTTGTCATCGACTGTAAATTGTCTCTTGCATAATTTTTTCAGCTTATAAAGTCAAATACAAAATCCCAATAGCTACTAACTACAGAATAAATTAATAATATTTTTTGTTTTATATTTTCTTAAATTGTATAATTTACAGCTCTGTGAACGTCATTAATATAATAACAAGTAATAAAATAATTGTACGAGCATTACTAACTGGTTGTTGTAATCTTTCGTAATTAATTTGTACGATCGTAAAAAGCAAATTGACGCAGGCAACTTAATTAGAAGCTGTGGCATTTTATACGATTTCTGTAATTAGCTCAATTAACTATTCAAAACAAATGTTNAAACACCCTGTATATTTTATATATTATTTATGTATGTAGCATATTTGTTTTCGTTTTTCTTTCCTGCACTAGAAGTACCGCCAAACAAATTTCTTTTCTGCTCAACCCAAAGGTAAACTGGTCGAGAATGCTTTAGTGCATTAAGTTCGCCTTATGTACAATTTTATTTTGGCATAAAAGTTTAAATAAATAAATAAAATAAATAAATTATTAACATTCAGCATCATTTTAACCCTTCACTACTTTATTAAAGAAGTAATCACTAAATTATAGGTAAAACATTGATTGAAAAATAATTAGAAATTCTAAAAAGAGTATTATTCCGGTACCGGGAATCGAACCCGAGCCTCCTGGGTGAGAGCCAGGTATCCTAGCCACCAGACCATACCGGAGCTTACAGGCGGAAATGAAAATAGCTATCCAATGTTAAAATTTTGCGTCCCATTTAATAGGTACTAAAATATTTTTAATCTTTAAAAATAGGTAACACAGTTAAAAGTGACATTTTTTTATTTTAGTAAAGCAAGTCAAGGTTCAAAATAGACTATTTGAAACCATTCCCCAGTAATTCAAAGTCATGGTTTCATTGTATTAATTGAAAAAGTAGTTTATTTGAGTTGACAAAATAGTGCCGTCACTTGCTGGTATTGCCATAGACAATCTATGGGCGTTTTTCGTTTTGACAGTTTTAAAAAGTACGTCTATTGATTGGTGGTGTCAACACGTCTAATAAATCACTGTTTCAGCATCTAAAATCCCTAAGGTTGGGTCTGTCAATCTACATACAAAAAAACCCGATTATCGTTAAAGTTACGGTCAAAGTGAGGTGGTGAAACTCAGCCTAACTGCCTAACGTCGAAACTGGTACAGTCCATCACGATAATACTTATTTAATTTATATAGAATTTAGGTCTCACTGTTAAGGTGTAACCATAATAATATAGTCTCTTTTCTATTGTTATTTAATCAAAAATTTTCAAAAAC